CCCAGAATCAAATGCTTGTTTTTTCCATTTCATATGTGACATTTTGTCTATAGCCTAATTGATACTCTTTTTTTTTTCACTTTTCTGTTTTCCACTAAGCTATTTCCAAGTAATTGCCTCTTGGTTTCCCATTCTAGTAGCTGCACGTTTCAGTATAGCTTACGCCAGGCATTGACTCCCCAGCCATTAATTGCTTATATACTATTGCTATCGCTGCAGTCATAGATCTAGCTCTAGCTAACAACTAGCGCAATGCACAGAACTTCCTGTCATTATTGCTCAGTAATAACAGGCAAAATACTAATTGTAACATTAAATCACAATTTAAGCACTTAAATGTGGCTTTTTTAAAGTGTAGTACTTTCACTTCAAGTTGTTCTTTTAATACAATATAAATGACCTAAATGTGATAGTGTATCACTGCAAGTGCTGACATGGCATCCTAGTGTGAATAATCAAGATGAAAGGAAAGTTGTCAAGGTCAGCTCCAAGCTTTTTGCTTTATTAGTAATGAATTAACTAATGATGCGGTGTTCTATGAATGGGTTTTCTTAGTGAATACCTAAGGGATGGGATGGTTATATGTGCCTATTACTTTTAGCTATCTCAAATATTTATGCAATGACATCAGTTGTTTATATTTGTTTTGTCATATGTACATCCTGTGCAGATGTACTCTATATGTACAAAAAGTCCTGACCATCAAAGCTATACAAGGCATTAACTGGAGTTGCCCACCCCTCTTTGATTATAACAGCCTCTGCTCTTTTTTGGGAAGACTTTGCAAAAGATTTTAGTGTGTGTCTCAGAGATTGTGTGCCTGTTCAATTAAAAGAGCATTGTGAGGTCAAGTACTGATCTTGAATGTGAAGAGCTGCTGCATAATCAGTGTTCCAGAGGTCTTCAGTAGGTTTGAGGTTAGGGATTTGTGCAGGTTTCACAGGTCCCTCCAGACCAACTTGTCAAAGTACTGTATGTCTCTATGAAGCTGGTCTTTATCCTGTGCAGGCATGCTGGAACAGACCCATAACAGAGGACATAACAGAACCATAAACCTTTACCATCTTGAGTGTATCACACCACATAAACTACTTTAGAAGAGATGTTAATATTTATTAACCCAGCCATTCACAGGTAGTGAGTGAGATCAAGTATGACAGGTACATCATAGGATTAATGTGACATCATTGATGACATTAAAGTGGAAGTCAAGGCTTTTCCTAACTATGATTAATCCTGCTTCCGCAACCATTTTAACCCATATTTTAAATACTCTGTCAAGAGAAGAAGTGTAAACTTAACTATTCTGAGGATGCTCCAATGTTGATAAGTTATAATAGGTGAATTTTTTTCAACGGTTAAAGGCTGCTCTTCAGGCTTGGAACCCTTGAGACAACTAAACTCTATCCCTAACCTTGGTGTTACCAGTATCTATATATATCTATAGACTTCTTAACCTTTAGCCCTGCTGCGGGCAAGCAGCAGGGCTCACCTATCAGGTGGAAGCATTCAGGCAGCTGCGATGCCACCTGATTGCTTCCACACAGCGCACTAAAGTGTCAGCCTCCGCCCCCCTGCCCGCTATGTCTCCCTGGCTCCGCTTGCCCATCTGCAGGCCTAGGACTGTTCAGCGGGCACTGGTGGGCATAGGGGAGGGAAGAGAGTAGACACATCCGCTCCCCTTCTTGTTCTGACTCAGAAGTGACGTAATGTTACTTCCATGGGCCCCGTTGACAGATTTCCCGGCCATCAAGACTGAGAAAAAATGTAATGCAGTGCGATGTACACTGCATTACATCCAGTGGAGTACAGGGGAGTCATGCAGGGTTTTAGACTCTGGATGTCTAAAATAAAGAGAACCTGTCACCAAAATTCATCACATCAGGGACTTTTGGTGCCCGATGTGATGAAAAAAAAGTTAAATAAAACAAAGAATTGTAACAAATTAAAGTTACACCCAAACACATAACCCCCCCGCCCCCCAAAACGTTTGAGGCCCCAACACCCGCACATATATCCGCACGTACAAACATAAAAGCACAAGCTGGGGCACCTATGCATGAAAACGTTGATTGTGATACACGTTACATATCTCCGCGAATGCCAGAATGAGAGCAATAATTCCAGCACCAGGCCTCCTCTGTAACAATAAACTGATGACCAGTAAGGGACTTTAAAAGCGTTGATTATAGAAAATATAGGGTACTAAAGTTTTTTACCATTTCACAAGCTCATGCAAATTTGAGGATTGACATGTTGGATATCTATTTACTTGGTGCAACCTCATCTTTTGCATTTTACCAAAAAATTAGGTAATCCTATATCTTTTTTGTGCCCTAAAATTAACTTACATGTATTTTTTTTACTGAATGTTTGTGTTTCCTAGATCTTTGTGGTAATATCATGTGACATATAAAATTGTAACTACCACTATTTTATTCTCTAGGGTGTCTGCTTTCTGAAATTCTATAATGTTTGGAGGTTTTGTGTAGTCTTCAGGCCTAAAATTATTTTTTTAAATGTGTGAAAAAAATTCAAAAATGGCTCTCACAGCGAAAGGGATAAAGGATACGCTCGACACTCCCCTTTCCTAACGAGCATCCAATCGGTGCTCGTTGCACGGCAAGGTTCTCTCCCCCCCCCCCCCCCCCCAGAGTCCCCAAGTGTGGTGCTGGAGGTGAGGAGAAGATAAACGACACAATGTTAAAAATATTAAAGGTTTAAATTGCCATAAAGCCTCTTTTGCTTTTAAAATCCCCAGACATTCCTAAAAGCACCTCAAATTTAAATATGGTTTTGGTTAAATTGTATTTTTTTTTATCTGAACAAGTAGATTATCTTGAGGGACAAGTAGACTGGGACACCAGTTTAGTCTCTTGACAAATAGTTTTTCAAAAATTTCCACAACCCTTTATAGGCATCACCAGAGAAGGGGTATATGGTGGTGCCTCAGTCTAGAAAGATCCATCCTCTTCTTAACTTTCTGTATTTATATTGAAAGGCAACAGGAGGCTTGGGGAGCCACTCATCAAAAACACAGAGGGCCTGGGCCCTGTCAGACACATTTTCTCCAATATATCAGAGCACCTTAGAAACCCACAGGCCCTTGTCTTACAACTACAGCCCTGGCCAAAAGTTTTGAGAATGACACAAACATAATTTTCACAAAATCTGCTGCCTCAGTGTTTTTAGATCTTTTTGTCAGATGTTACAATTATAAACTGATGTATAATTACAAGCATTTCATAAATGTCAAAGGCTTTTACTGACAATTACATTAAGTTTATGCACAGAGCCAGTGTTGACCTTTCTTTTTCAAGACCTCTGCAAATTGCCCTGGCATGCTGTCAACTTCTGGGCCACATCCTGACTGATGGCAGCCCATTCTTGTATAATGCTTGGAGCTTGTCAGAATTTGTGGGGGATTTTTTGTTCACTTGCCTCTTGAGGATTGACCACAAGTTCTCAGTGGGATTAAGATCTAGGGAGTTTCCTGGCCATGGACCCAACATTTTGATGTTTTGTTCCCCAAGACACTTAGTTATCACTTTTGCCTTATGCCTTAAGATGCTCCATTATTCTTATAATATATATATATAGCCATCGTTCATCACCATACTGTTCTTGGATGGTTGGGAGAAGTTGCTTTCAGAGGATGTTTTTGTACCATTCTTTATTCATGGCTGTGTTCTTTGTGAGTTAGTCCACTCCCTTGATTGAGAAGCAACCCCACACATGGTCTCAGGATGCTTTACTGTTGGCATGACACAGGACTGATGGTAACGCTCACCTTTTCTTCTCTGGACAAGGTTTTTTCTGGATGCCCCAAACAACTGGAAAGGGGATTCATCAGAGAGAAAATTACTTTACACCAGTCCTTAGCTGTCCAATCCCTGTACCTTTTGCAGAATATCTGTCTATCCTTGATGTTTTTTCTGGAGAGAAGTGGCTTTTTTGCTGCCCTTCTTGACACCAGGCCATCCTCCAAAAGTCTTTTCCTCACTGTGCATGCATATGCACTGATACCTGCCTGCTGCCATTCCTGAGCAAGCTCTTCACTGGTGGTGCTCTGATCCTGCAGCTGAATCAACTTTAGGAGACTGTCCTGGCACTTGCTGGACTTTCTTGGGCCCTGAAGCCTTCTTCACAATTGAACCTCTCTCCTTGAGGTTCTTAATGATCCGATAAATGCTTGATTCAGGTGAAATCTTAGTAGCAGCAATATCCTTGCCTGTAAATCCCTTTTTGTGCAAATCAGTGATGACTTCACGTGTTTTCTTGCAGGTAAATTATGATTTGTGTCATTCTCAAAGCTTTTGGCCAGGGTTGTATACCTGTTCCCTTTCATTAGGCTTGCTCCTGCAAATGCCATCATTGTGGTAGGTACAATAAAAACATTGGTGCTTTTGGCACACGTAAAGGGTACCTCCACATTATTCATGATGAATTCCTTAATTTGGGGCAGAGTGTATCTGAGAGTCTTTCTAAACAAGCTGAACCAGAGATGTTATACAGCGAAAAAGGCCCTCATTATCAGCAATATATCAGTATTGCTCAAAATGTCCACATCCTATCCCTCTAGCATCACATATGATTTTCAGTGCATGAGTCAACTCTGTGCTCCAGGTTTGTAACTTGCAGCATGTTATTGCATTTTAAATATCATTAAATTAGTGTTTTGAAAGAAGTACATCTAATCACACTTAAAGGAACCATTCCTTACTGAACATGTTTCTTTAGTACTCTAATAATTACTTAACCACTATCCTACAGGGCACTTATACCCCCTTCCTGCCCAGGTCAATTTACAGCTTTCAGCGCTGTCACACTTTGAATGACAATTGCGTGGTCATACAACACTGTACCCATATGCAATTTTTATCATTTTTGTGTGACAGTGCTTTATTTTGGTGGTATTTAATCACCTCTGGGTTTTTTATTTTTTCTTAAACAAACCAAAAATCACTGAAAATGCTGAAAAAGGTTTTTCTTTGTTTTTGTTATAAAATTTTGTAAATAAGTGATTTTTCTCCTTCACTGATGTGCACTAATGAGGCTGCGGTGATGGGCACTGATAGGCTGCACTGATGGACACTGATAGGTGGCACTGATGGGCACTGATAAGGAGGCACGGGTAGGTGACACTGATGGGCATTGACAGACATCACTGATGGGCACTGATAGGCGGCACTGACAGGCAGCACTGACTGGCACTGTTAGGCGGCACTGACTGGCACTGTTAGGCGGCACTGATAGGCAGCACTGACGGGCACTGATAGGCGGCACTGATGCACACGGATAGGTGGCACTGACTGGTACTGTTAGGTGGCACTGACTGGCACTGTTAGGCGGCACTGATAGGCAGCACTGACGGACGGCACTGATGCATACTGATAGGCGGCATTGACTGGCACTGATAGGCAGAACTGACTGGCACTGATAGGTGGCACTGACTGGCACTGATGGGTGACACTGAAAGGCAGCTCAGATGGGCACTGATATGTGGCATTGATGTGGCACTGATGGGCACTGAAATTTGCCACGGATGTGGTACTGATGGGCACTGGCAGGTGGCATGGATGAGCACTGAGAGCTGGCACTGATGGACACTGACAGGTGGCGCTACTGGGGCTACACAGATCATCAGGGCACACTGATCATCAGTGCTGTGATGATCTGTGTAGATGTCCCCTCCGAGGAATGCCGATTACCGGCTCTCCTCTCCTCGCGAGCTGTCAACGTGACAGCTCATGGGTTGAGAAATGCCGATAACAAGCATTTCCCTGTTTACATGTGATCAGCTGTGATTGGACACAGCTGATCACATGACCGAGCAGACATCTTCGGCTCTTTCCGTGGATCGGTGATCTGCTGTGTCCAAGGGACACAGCTCACCGCCACACGCTCCGGGAGCCGCGCATGCGCGGTTAGAATGGGAGGACGTCATATGATGTCCTCCCAGAACAAAAGAACCACCTTGCTTCCGTCATATTACTATATGGTGGGCGGGAGGTGGTTAAAGTGGAACTTTGGTCAGAAAATTAAGCTCTGCTAGATCACTTCATGCTGGTCCCTATTTCGGGTATAGCTATGCAAAACATTAAAAATAAGTACATATGCTGTTTAAACTCCAGTAATACACTGTCTCAACCTGCTCTGCACATGCTCAATTGCTCTCTATTTTGTAGTCACTGTGCTGAAAATATGAAGGCCAATCTGCTGACAGCCTCAATATTTACTGCTGCTCAGGGGCTCTGGGCTTTAGCAAACTGGCAGTCTCTAGCAAGAAGAAACAGGAGAAATGCTAGAGACAATTTACAGCACACACTAATGTTGGTAGCATTATTATTGTGGAATATTTGTTCCTTGCTAAAGAACATATTGTTTATCAAGTTCTGCTGGATAAAGTCCCTCTTAAATACTAGTGCTATGTTGCAGAACAAGCCATTGCATTGTGGCCCATAGAAATCAGTAGACCAACAATCCCACTCTGCCCTCAAGTTAAAATACAGTATATGAGCATTTGTGTAAAATATGTCTAGTGCTATTGCAAAACTGTATTGATTCCATTATATGCAGTGGGTACTTTAGGAGCCTATAATGGAACAAGATAATAACAAATATTTTTTTTTTGCAATTGATGTCCTGCTTTTTAATATCAAAATTGCTGTAAAGGTGAAGTCAGGTTCTCAAAGCTTTATGTATTTGGTAAAACCCATTTTTTTTTTTTGTGCCCATTAGAATTTAAAGAGATTATTGGCATGTTATCAAATAAGACAGCAACTGCCAATAGGCGTATAACTAATGTTTCTTCATAAAGCAGTATGTTTTTGTTGAGTGCCAAGAGGCTGTTACATAAGACATGACTGTTTCCAGCACACACCTTCCAAACTGAACAAGGAGACAGAGACCAGGCAAGGACTTGTCACTTTCCGTATATAGCTGTAAGCTGTTTTCACTTGCTGCCACTTCAGCTCCTTCAATTATTCTGCTGTACATAGTGGAGAGCCTGATGATATTTTGACTTGGGGCAAGGTGCCATTTTTATCTGTCAAATTCAGGAACAATCACTAGGGTGACAGAGAAACGTACAGATTCATTTATAGAACTGTGTATACACATCTCTCGACAGTCCTACTGCAAAGTTTACATTGTGACTGTTACAGAGGTCAAGCTATGTCCCTGCCAGGTCCTCTTTTTGAGAAGTGGCTTGAGTGGTACAGATCACCCAACCCTGCCAGAAGGTAGAAATGCCACATATTAAATAGAACAAGTGCCATACATACTTGTTGAAGCATTCAGCACAAATGTTCAAAAAAGGTGATTCCTAAAACTCAACTTTTTATGATGGAACCCTAGATATTAGTCTATAATTGTCTAGTTCAGTAATTTTGTTTAGTTTCAGGTATAGAAAAAAGATGCTTGAATAACACATAGCTACATGTTTAAATATTGCATAAGCATAGCATAAAGATGACTGCTAATGGGTTTTTGGTGTGTGCATCGGATGGGAGGGAGAGGGATGTGGAAAGGTATAGAAGGGAAGAGAGGGCATTTGATTTTTTAAGATAAGTTCCAGAACCAGACATCTACAGTAAAATAGTAAATGTCCAGGGTTCCAGGAGACCACTGTCAGTGGACCACATTTCTAGGAACTCTCAGTATTTAGTATTTTTTCTAGCTAGGTAAGTTAAAGGATAGTTTCTAGTTCTTCTAGTCATCTAGTAGTTAGTCTGCTTATATTACTGTAAAAGTACATTGAAGCAAGTACATGATTTAGCCAGACAGTAAGTCACTGTATAAGAAATGTCAAAGATCAGACATTGGGGGATTCATTACTTGTGTGGTTTTTCCTTTCCATACTTTTCCTATCTTGTTTCTTTTCTTTTAAATATTTCATACTTTTATATAATTCATTTATTATGTCAGCCTGTGTGGTAAACGTCTGCGTTTACAGGAGTATTTGAAAAGGAGCATCTACAGGCAGAGAAAAAAAACACACCAAAGGTTCGTTTTGAAGAAAAAAAAATTGTGTTGATGTATGTGAGGCCCCATTCACATCTGGCATTTTGTGATCTTGGGCAGAATCGCTGTAATTCTGCCTGCGATCCGAAATCGCACTGCAATAATGACAAAACTCCCCACACCTGTGTTTTTTTGCAGTTTTACTGGATTGTCAACATCTGAAGCTCGCTGCTCAATAAGAAGCAGGATCTTTTTTTAAACGGCAAGCTTTGCATATTGCGGTTTGCCACGATTGCTGCACGTCAAAACCACAACACGTTTAGGTACCATTAAAAATGAATGGCACCCGAACAAGTGTGGTATGTTTTGTCATTATTGCAGTATGATTTGGACAGAATCACAACAATTCTGACGGAGATCACAAAACGCCAGATGTGAATAGGGCCTTAATGTATTCTAATGTCCAGAAAAAAATTAATATTCTGGCCAGTAGAATGCATTTATACACAAACGCCACATGTGCATAAATGCACGTAAATATGCTCATACATATTGTAACATTAGAGGCATTTTTACTGCCAGATTCTGTCAGAAAAACTGTTGCTTATTTTCATAAGCTCTTGTGCAGGAGGCCTAAAAGAGTAGATTAACATAACAAGGGAAGTGGTGGAGGAGGCAATATAGTGTGAACTGTAAATGTTTCAATTTACATAGGTAGACAAAAATACTAAACTGTAAAAGATGACAGGGTGATGGGTAATTTGGAAATTTTAGCCTGAAGGGTGTAACATAAGAGGAGAAGGTGGCAAGTGAAACCTAAATAGGACAGAATGTCCTCTGTGAGAGTATATGATGAATGTGAGGTAGTATTTTGTAGCATGTTACTTAGATTTTATAAATAGCTAATGAAAATTGTTGTAATTTTCTAATTATTTTGAGTATATGTATATATTTTATATACATGACACATACTAAAATAGCAATTATTAAACATGTGGTCCAGCCTACCATAGCAAAATATGGAGAAGAACGCTGAGTGTAGCAGAGCACTGGTGATGTAAGTTTCAAAAGCTGTCAAGAGAGTGAATGCTGTTTGAACCCTTATAAAGAAATAATAATTTGTTATGTATTTATATAAAAGGTGATTGCAGAATTGTCATAAAGGGTGCATTACTGTGCAACCCAGCATTCAACATAAACATTAGACATGAAAAAATATACCTATATATACATATTTTTGTACTGGTTTGTGGTCATTGTACTTATCATGAATATAAAATACCCAGTAGCTGGCAAATAAGCAGCACATAATGTGGCAAAGTTGAACCCCATGCAGAGACTGACAGGAGACAATGAAAGCAATAACTGAAGCTCCAACAGTGCGTAGTATCAGCAGGGAGTATGTTCTAGTTAGCAGCCTTTTCATTGCTGATACTGTGACATGTTTCTGTCTTCTTCACTGTCACAGAGAACCAATAGATTTGTTTAGGCATTTCATTGACGTGTCAGTTTCATGCTGTCAAGAAGTGGGGATTGTTAATTCTATACAATGTTAATAGAGTAATAAAAAAATATTACTGCATACAGAACTGCACTTATATGTTGAGCAGAACCTAATTTGAAAGGAGGATAGTAAACCCACTGGACCAGGCTTTTTCTGGCACTTATGCACAAGTAACCTGTAATAATCAGGTTTTTTTTTGCTAGAAAATCACTTAAAACCCCCAAACATAAGGGCCCGGGCATTGTCGTGCACCAGGAGGAACCTAGGGCCCACTGCACCAGCGTAGGGTCTGACAATGGGTCCAAAGATTTAATCCCGATACCTAATGGCCATCAGGGTGCCATTGTCTAGCCTGTAGAGGTCTGTGCGTCCCTCCATGGATATGCCTCCCCAGACCATCACTGACCCACCACCAAAACGGTCATGCAGAATGATATTACAGGCAACATAACGTTCTCCATGGCTTCTTCAGACCCTTTTCACGTCTGTCACATGTGCACCTGTTAATTTCATTAACACCAAAGCAACTGAAACTGATTAACAACTCCCTCTGCTGCTTAACTGACCAGATCAATATCCCAGGAGTTTAATTGACTTGATGCTATAATCTGACAAAAATGTGCTCCTTTAATTTTTTTTAGCAGTTTTTTTGCAAAAAACACTATTTTATTCTATAGGGCCTCTTCTTAAAATTTTTTTTAATATATATATATACACGTAAATATAATTTTTTTTTTTTTTTTTAAGCAGAGGCCCTAGAGAATAAAACAGTGGTTTTTTGCAATTTTTTTTTATGTCACACGGCATTTGTTACACCTAGTAAATAGATACGAAACATTTCAGGCTGCACGACAATCAAGGCAGAATGGCACCACATTTACAGGTGCCATTAAAATGAATGCCAATTAAACACGCTGTTCTTCGATTTGTAATTTTAGCAGAGCGTTTTGAAATCATGGGCAGAATCGTGACAATTCTGCCTGCAATTCAAAATGCCCTAGTGTGAATGGGGCATAAAGCTCTCACATGTGGCTGCTAAGGAGCCAGACATTTCTTTCATCTTTTCAGACCAAGCTTGAGACCAAAGCTTTATCAGACATCAGGCTAATTAGGACTAAAATGATCAGTGGCACATGCCTGATGCAATGTAAAATCTTATCCCATGCATAAGACCTCGTTCACACGGGTGACTACAGTGTACACCTTGTGAGCGCTATGTTTGCCAATACAGGGATGCACAGAACACCTGCAGGCAGTTCTATTCATGTCAGTTGAGACACTGGGACTGCACAAACAAAGTCACTGCTCCCAATTTGACAGCCGTATGGGTGCACAGCCCTGAGCTCACACTGTCTGCGAGTGTACGCTGTAGTATGCCCATTTGATCAAAGCCTAATTCAGAAATTCAGTTGGTTGCAAATGTATGGTCAAAGCTATTAAAAATGTGCATTGAGGTTTATTATCTCAGTCCTAATGTTTATGGCTGTAAATTATATACTGCCTTTGAAATATGACCTGGCCATAGAAGGTATTCCATCTTACAGAATTAATAGTTTTAGCATTGTGGATTAAATGAATATTTCAAAGAAAACTAGGCAAGTCTAAGTGGTTGCAACCATTTTATGAGCTAATGAATTACTTAAATTGTGTAAATTGTGTGGGTAAATTGTGGTCATTTTCTGCACACACCTCAATTTCTGAGGTATGACGGAGGGACAGCTTTAGGCAAAATGTACGTAGGACACACCTCTGTTCCCCTCCCAGTTACACAAAGCACCCACAAGTGATTTTTTTTTTTACCACTCAATTTACATGTGCTAACTTTTCAAAATGAATGCAATCATTTATAGGTTGGATGAAAATATTAGAGTTGTATCACACTTTAGGTACCTAAAATGTATGTGTTTTTCTATAGAAGTCTATATTTCAAACAAAAAAGGGACATTTAAGGAGGAAATCGGGAAAGAAGGGTTTGGTTCCAAAAGAGGAACAGTTGGGAGCTTTGCTTCAGTGTTGTTGCATTTGGAATGGACAGGCTGCATGTGCATTAATAAATTGTTTTCATCCACAATAGAAGAAGTTTGTAGAGCATATTTGTTAAGTCATCTTTGTGCAGGTGACATGTTCTCTTGAGTTATTATTCTTGATAGAGAAACATAATTGTTGTTCTAATATCTAGGTAAAATAGATGCTTCAGACCTTATTAATAGTTTCATTGCCACGAACAGACAGCAGCCCTGCTAAATTAGGGGGATCTTTGTTGAATAATTCAGTGTTTTCCTCATGATTAATTCTCTGGGCATTATATGATGTTCCCTTTGGGCATGTTCATATACTGTTGCAGCGACAATGACTGTCCTCAGAGACTCACACCCTCACCTTGTGGTTTTATGTTTGTGTTTTTCCTGCAGATACCCTCCTGGATGACTTCCTCCTCACGTACACGGTCTTCATGACAACAGACGACTTGTGCCAAGCGCTCCTCAGACAATATCCTTAATTAACTGGAACAGTCATGCCCCTGATTCCAGAGAATGAAAAGCAGATGCCTACCATTAAAAGCAGATGACATCTGGTAAATTGCTGCAAGAGATACGCAACTGACACATTTCTCTATGATATGGTTGCACCAAATTTAAATAGTTTCGCAAAGCAGAACATTGATGAATAGGCTTGTACAACTGCCGGGTTTACAGGATTGTATAATTTCTCTTTAGGTTCCTATCTGTTAATATAATATTTAAAGCCTAAATGCAGCCAAAATCAAAAACAGAACAATCAGCAATCGAACTACAGTCAGTGGAATCTCTCCTTTGTGCAGATTCCTTTGCAGTTAGTAGTAATTCCCCTCTGTCCTGCACCCACCAACCCCTTGCTGTTTTTTTACTTCTGGTGTGGTGGGCATTAATACAACTAAAGGATGGTTACAAGCTCTCATCAAGAAAGCCTGACTATGCCCACCCTTTCCCCCTCTGGCTCCACTAGTCATAGAAGTTGTACTAGAGAGCATCTATGAATGGAACACTATCTATAAGGGGGCAGAGCTATCAATCATTTGTCCATCCTCCATTATTAACTCCTTTTCCATTTGTAGACGCTATAGTATGGTGTCTATGAATGGTGCAACTGGATGTTAAGGGTGGGCATAGTCAAGCTCTCTTGATGAGCCTGTGATAGCTCATTAGTTTTATTAACCCCCACTTCAGCAGAAAGTTATGACAGCAGGGGTTGGGGGGAACAGGATGGAGGAAGATTATTACTAAAAGCAGGGGAATTAGAACAAGGGACACATCCTAATTGGCTGCAAGTTATAATCTTTTGCTGATTTTTCTGTTTTTGACTTAGGCTGCAACTAGGACATGGTCAAAAGCATCCAAGGTGGCATGAAATTTTACTTTAATACTGATATAAAATGTTTAACAAAGAACTACAGCCTTAAACTTGTATTGAACTCAAAAACAAAAATGTAGCATATTACAGTTTATCAATCCATAAATATTGTGGCTGCATATTTTTTTTTAGTCTTTTTTTCCTTTATTTCCACCTGGTGATCTGGCCAGTAACACTCTGGTTGGGGGACCAACAGAGACACCCTTGGACAGCAGCATTATCAGTCTGTGGAAAGGTGGTGGTGTTAGATGCACTAGTAAATATAGATGACGGGACTAATAAATTAACCACTTACCCTCCAGAGGATTTACCCCCCTTCCTGACCAGGCCATTTTTTTTGCATTACAGCGCTGCCTTACTTTAACTGACAATTGTGCGGTCATGCAACACTGCACTCAATTGACATTTGTGTCCTTTTTTCCTACGAATTGAGCTTTCTTTTGGTGGTATTTTATTTCCTGTGCGTTTTTTATTTTTTGCGCTATAAAAAAAAAGACTGACAATTTTGAGAATAATACAATATTTTTTACTTTTTTCTATTAAACATGTCCAGAAAAAAAAAATTTAAAAATCAAATTTCGGCATAAATTTAGACCAAAATGTATTCTGCTACATGTCTTTGCTAAAAAAAAAAATCCCAATACGTGTAAATTAATTGGTTTATGTGAAAGTTATAGCATTTACAAATGGCGGTATAGATACTGGAATTTTTTTTTTCTTTCTAGTAATGGCAACGATCAGCGACTTATAGCGGGACTGCGGTGGGCATTCTGACACTGGGGGGAACTGACTTGGTGTCACTGACATCCCCAGTGACACCAATACAGTGATCAGTGCTAAAAAAAGCACTGACACTGTACTAATGGCACTGGGCAGGAAGGGGTTAACATGAGGGCTTTACATGCATTGTAACTGCATGGTCAACTGCTATGGTAAATCCAGGTTAACTGTATTTAGGCATACTCATTTACACATAATTCTACAATTAATAATATGCAATATAAACCAAAATTGTCACTGCTGTCCTTAATTAAAGCAATTATTTCTGTGGTGACGTATCTACACTCTAAAGATGACCATACACTAGTAGATTTTCGAAAACATGTTCATAGGAAAATATGCGTGGAAATTCTGAGTACATTTAGTGACTTGCCAAATGTCATTCAAAAGTACTTTTGTTTGCTTTTAGCATTCAATTCTGAAACAAATGCAGTTTCCTGAGCACAAACCATCATTTTTGTTCCCTTCTATGAATATATTAGCATCACCTGCTTCAAGAACTGCTATCTGGCACCTGAGGGTTCAGTCAGCTGTGTCCAGGCTTGGACATCTGTCCCAAATTGTAGCTAGTCGCTCTGTGTGCAGCTACATGCGATCAGCAGCTGCCGATTGCATAACCCACAGATTTCTTGCAGCAGGAAACCAGCCTCCTCAACAAACTGGCCATGTGAAGGAGGCTTTAGAGACAGGACATGCTTGAGACACCTGCCTCACATTGGATATGAAGTGTGAAAAGTGTATCATTCCATGTGTGTTAGAGAACAGATTTCGACCATAGTAAGGAGCCAAAAGGATGGCATACAATAGATGGCACGCACATAACGCCACACATTTCCCTTTATGACAGGACTTGATTAATTGTCTTCCTTTTCCTGCTTCAGGAGATTTAATGCATTCCAGCTTTTCACCCACATGCCATGTTCATGTACTGACTTCTGAGAGGTGGAGCGCTCCAGGCCAGAGTACACAGCTAATCCAGGCAATAGGCACATTATGAGATCAAAGGCTGCACTGCAAACAGCACTCGAAAATCATGTTACCTCAAGACAGTTACATTTCAGCAATTAAAACTTGTCTGTTCCAGCACTGTCATGTTTTAGGACAGGCACGTAACATACCTTAAAATGAGATCAATCATTTCTGTGGAAAGGATGGTTTTACATATTGTGTCTGCCACACAGTAGAACAGACAAATAAAACATGCTGTACTTATTTTAAATGAAATAAGCTGTAGGTTTAATTCACTAGTGTTTCTAAAGGTATAGGTTTACTTAAAAAAAGATAATATTGTAAATAAAAAAAATAAAACTCCAAAAATGTTGTTATTCACATGTCTGCCTATATTCTACCATCTGTGGTAGAGCTGAAAACATCTTTCCAATGCTAGACACATATAAGAAGTTTAAATACAATAGGTGTAGTAGAAATAGGAAGAGATAGCCTGACTGCTGCACACCTTGCCCAGCCCGAGTGGTGAGCAGATGAAAGTAGCTTCAGCTCAATTCATCCATAAGCCCTAGGAGTAAGGCAAAACATGTTGGGGGCATGGCTTGAATGAATTGAGCAGAGCCTGCATTTACCTGCTCAGCACTCAGGCTAGATGAGGTTTGCGGTGGTCAGGCTATCTCTTCCTATTTCTACAGTGTGCTTTCCCCAGCCTGCACCCTTACTAGTCAGTGGTATCCAATTCTTCACTTGTTAGCCTGAGCAGGAGCCACTAAGCATTTATTGTGGGTTACAGTAGATGAAGGTTATATTACAAGCATGACTTAGCTGCATGTACCATGGGGAGAACATGCCCAGCTCAGATTTATGTCTGCTGCTTTAAAGATTATTGCCTGAGCCACAGAGAATCTTGTGATTCTATTCATCAGACTCTCCTTATTGAACCCCATCCCACACACTTTTTTTTTTGCTGGATGTCCCCACAAATATGGCTTGGTGCTGCCCCATGTTTACAGTGGTTTTATGGTACATATGGTGTGCAGAGATAAACACATGGGGGTTTATTTACTAAAGCTGGAGAGGGCAAAATCAGGCTTACTTCTGCATAGAAACCAATCACCTTCCAGGTTTTACTGCCAAAGCTTAATTGAACGAGCTGAGGTTAGAAGCTGATTGGTTTCTATGCAGATGTGAGCCTGATTTTTCACTCTCCAGCAATAAACTCCATGCTGTCTGTATTGCCTTGATGCCTTCTGTGTTCTACTTTATTTAGTTAGGTAATCAAACATAAATCTGTCCAAAAATGTTACCACTGGATTGTGCAGTCTACTACATTTAAGAATAATTGTACAGAAAATTCTAAATGTGGGGAGATATATCACACCTAGCTTAAACTGGCCAAGATGGATTGAAATTTGGCTGATTCAGCAGGGACTGGACAAATTTCGGTCCATCTATGCTTGTTCCTGTTCCAGAGGAATCAACCCAGTGATCAACTGCTCTTGAAAGTGAATATTGTAAAATTTGTGTTCAGTCAGCACATGCAGACAATCTGCTGCAGCGCTGATCAGTGGAATCAGGCAGTAGAGAAGTCCTGCTGTCTGTATAGATTAGCGCTGTAGGGAGGATTCTCGCATCCACCTCGATTGTGTGGATGGGAGAATCTGTTTAGTGACTGGGACAAAGTTGAATGTTTGTTTTATTAGATAGAACAGGAAATGTCTGTATTTTGTAGTCCTATATATTTATACGTAATTGGTATGTATCTTAATGTTACAGTACTTCAATTGTTATATGTAATCTCTAATTGGAACACATGGATCATGAGTCTTTATTGGGTCACAGAGGACACCAGTTTGTACAATACAAATGTCAGGTAGAAAATGTATCAAAAATAAAATATATACTTATGTATCTATTTTGCCAACTATACATAATCTGGGGTAGAAGTAAACCTCTCTGCAGTCATATAAAGGGTGGATGATGCATAGTCTCTTAATTAGCTCTGTATTTGCAGCCTGGACTTCTCCTATCTCCAGAAATGCTTGCTCTTTTAAAACACAAAATGTTTTGTTGTTGTGCCTTGACCTGAAATTACCTATTGTGCCAACAAATACGACGGCAAGGCAGAAAGCCCAGAGGCCCTGTGCACAAAGAGAAAGGTCTTGCTTCTTGCTTCCCAGTGGACGGCTCTGTACAAAGATTGGCTACATGATGATGAGCATTCCAAGCTGTTCCTGAAGGTGAGTTAAGAAACCTATCAGCTCATAGGATAATGTGAGTGTGGGCTCCTATGCTAACTCATCACACTGCAATAGATACAGTGCTATGATTTGTTTCCTAACATCATATATACTCATTGTTAGCAGCTATTGCGAGCTGTAGTTATGGAAAGCAAGTTTGCTGCCTGTCATAGTGGCCATTGAGACATTATTAACGCAACCATGCCACTAGTTTTAACTTCTGTGTTAAGTCTTTAAAATTAAAAAAAACTGTATGAAAGACATTACTTATCAGTGTGTTGTATCCCTGCTGCTGCTGGTTCCTCATTTAGATAAAACCTTTTTCCTCCCGATGACCCACCCCTACTGCCATAGTCTTCTGGTGCAACAGGGATTAATAGAATTGAGGGAGCTGTGACAGTTTTTCATCAAGAGTAAGACTTTGTCCTTCCTTTCACTCCCACCTCCCTTGTTCATAAAAACCATACTACAGCTTCTATGAATGAAACTAGATCTATGAATGAAGGAGGCGGACCTTTCAGTTATGTACCTGACCTCCATTCATGGATCACTCTTCAATAACAGAAGCTGTAGTATGGACTCTATGAATCGAGGAGGTGGGTGGAAGGGTCTGTCACAGCTTCCTCACTTCCTTAACCCCAGCTGCACGGTTTTACAGTGGCGAGGTTGGAGGGGCATTGGAGGAGGAGACAGCAGCACAAGGAACACATCACACTGATGGTAAGTAATGTACCTTGTGCTGATTTATATATATATTTAGCCTTTAAAGAAAAAAACACGTAAACATACAGAATTTTGTCTTATAGATAGAATAACATATTTCTTCTAGGTTTGTCAGTTCCCAGATTCACTTTATACTATAGTGCCAAATTCAGTATGTTTCACCATTGTAAATAATTATCTTCAGTGTCAGGTACAGCCAAGTGTTGCCGGATCCATGCAGATTTCTGCTAGACACACTGATTTTCCTCTGCAGAGTCCATGATTTTAAAATGTAAATTTGTTTTTCCATGTTGCTGAAAAGTGTTCTACACAACGGTGCTGATAGAATCACTTGAATTGATCCGACACAAGATCATTAACTGTGAGGAGACACTGTGTAAATGAGGGTTCCTAACAGGTCTGGGAGACATGTACAGTCTAGGTAGTCTCTAGAACTCTGAGCTTTCTTACTTGGGATGAAGAGCTGAAAGGGCACTTGCTTTTGTAAATAATTGATAAGGGGGACTTTTTCTTTTTTATGGAAAAATGATGCCTATAAGCTATCATCATATGTAAACATTACTATACAGTAGACATGCCCATCATCTATTCACAGTGGTGCAGCCATTTTCATGTACAACAATGCAAAAGGCAGTGCAACCAATCAGAAACTATTTTCACTGATCGTTCTAGAATGATATATGGTTGGTGTGGCTTAGTGCAATGCCCATCATCACTGCTTCTACTGTCATTGAATAACATATTGGAGTTGGTGTTATTAAAATTGGTAATACCACTCCGATATGAATTGCAAAGTATATTGATGATGTCTATATTGTCAACAATATAACCTTGGCTACATGCACTGTGCATGCAAGTGTACATGATTGAAACACTCATAAAAAAAATTGTACTTTTTTACAGATCTGTTCAAAAAAATGTACAGTCAGCAGGGAAGGCTTAGAGTTGACATGAAGCAGTTACAGGCCATGAAGATGTAAAGCATGAGCATGTCTCATTAAACCATTTGAAATTCCTGTTGTGATATGACCATATAAGGCTTTGTATGGCTCTAATCATCTACAATATATGGATTTAGACGAGCATGCCACTTGCTTTAACATATACTTTATTATAATTTGTATTCATAAACAAATAGCACTCTCAGTACTACAGTGCATCCAGAAAGTATTCACACCGTGCAACTTTTGCCACATTTTGTTGTTACCGCCTTATTCCAAATGGATGAAATAAATTTTTTCCTCAACATTCTACAAACAATACCCTATAATGGCAACATGAAAGAAATTCATTTTGAAATCTTTGAAATTTATTAAAAATAAAAAAAACAAATCAAAACACATGTACATAAGTATTCACAGCCTTTGCCATGACACTCAAAATTGAGCTGTGGTGCATCCTGTTCCCACTGATCATCCTTGAGATGTTTCCACAAACTTGATTGGAGTCCACCTGTGGGAAATTCAGTTGATTGGACATGATTACCCCTTGTGCGCTGTTTGTTGTTACTGTACTGTTTCATGTATTGTCCCCCCCTCTATTGTACAGCGCTGAGCAAACCCTTTGACGCTATATAAACTCGATAAAATAAATAAATAAATTAGGAAAGGCATAAACCTGTGTATATAAGGTCCCACAGTTAACAGTGCATGTCAGAGCACAAACCAAGCCATGAAGTCCAAGGAATTGTCCGTAGACCTCCGAGACAGGATTGTATCAAGTCACAGATTTGAGGAAAGGTGCAGAAAAATTTCTGCCGCATTGAAGGTCCCAATGAGCACAGTGGCCTCCATCATCCGTAAATGAAAGAAGTTTGGAACCACCAGGAATCTTCCTAGAGTGGGCCGTCCAGCCAAAATGAGCCAAGGAGGTAACCAAGCACCTGATGGTCACTGTGAAAGAGCTCCAGCGTTTCTCTGTGGAGAGAGGAGAACCTTCCAGAAGAACAACCATCTCCGCAGCACTCCACCAATCAGGCCTGTATGGTAGAGTGGCCAGACGGAAGCCACTCCTCAGTAAAAGGCAAATGGCAGCCTGCCTGGAGTTTGCCAAAAGGCACCTGAGGGACTCTCAGACCATGATAAACAAAACTTTCTGGTCTGATGAAACAAAGATGAAAGCAGCAATGTACAGACACATCCTTGATGAAAACCTGTTTCAGAGTGCTCTGGACCTTAGAAAGGGGCGACGGTTCATCTTTCAACAGGACAAGGACCCTAAGAACACAGCCCACATAACAAAGGAGTGGCTACAGGCTAACTCTGTGAATGTCCTGGAGTGGCCCAGCCAGAGCCCAGACTTGAACCGATTGAACATCTCTGGAAAGATCTGAAAATGGCTGTGCACTGATGCTCCCCATCCAACCTGATGGAGCGTGAGAGGTACTGCAAAGAAGAATGCGAGAAATTGCCCACAAATAGTTGTGCCAAGTTTGTAGCATCATACTCAAAATGACTTGAGATTGTAATTGGTGCTAAAGGTGCTTCAACAAAGAATTGAGCAAAGGCTGTGAATACTTATGTACATGTGGTTTTTTTTTTCGCTTTTTATTTTTAATAAATTGCAAAGATTTCAAAATGAACTTCTTTCATGTTGTCATTATGGGGTATTTTTTGTAGAATGTTGAGGAAAAAAATTTAATCCATTTTGGAATAAGGCTGTAAGATAACAAAATGTGGCAAAAGTTAAGAGCTGTGAATACTTTCTGGATGCACTGTACATGTGTTCTGTACTTTGAAACAGTTCTTGTTAACATGATGTTGTAATTGCAGCTCAAATAATAAGAATCTTCATTCACAATGGTGTTGTAAGATGTCTTTTATTTTATCCTTGTCGCTGCCAGACAAGCTGTAGTGGCTTGATTGCAAGTGGATTGCGTACAAATATCGCATATTGTTTGTTGTAGGGATCTGATACTGGGAATGCCCAGACTGCTATTTTATCAAGCAGTATTTCATCACTGCATTCTTCTATTTGATATTACACTGGTCCCACTGATGAGGAATGCAAACCGTTATAAATGAGGCATGATGTTTTTTCTTATTTTTCAGACCCTCTATCGTTATGTTTTGGATGATGTCTATGAATATCCTATCTTAGAAAAAGAATTAAAGGAATTCCAGAAAGTGTTGCGAATTCATCGTCGTCAGTAAGTGTAATAAATGTGTAGAATTTAAAATTGTTTTACAAAGCTGTTATGAGTATTTTGTTCATGCATGGTGACAAATTCACATCATATTGAGCAGTCTTTGTGCACAAACATTCTAATCCTAGAGCTGCTGACTACCCCTTACAACAGCGTTGTCCTCTATTCATAAGTCGTGGAGCTACTGCAGGAATGCAGTTCAGGCTTGTCTCATATAATATGTGTCTTTCTTACTTCTCTATGGGATTATAGTTCACCAAACCCCAATCCCATGTCTTATATTTATGTAGCAGTATTGGTGACCCTAAATGGGCCACATCTTTACATACTGTGTTTTATTTACTAAACGAGTAAACCTTTCACAACATGGTCACCTTATTAACCAACTGCCTTAATGAATCAACCTCACTGCCTGACAGGACATTCCTTGGGTTACTCATTGTAATCAGTTTTATGCCATCACTGAATGTTGTAAACTGAAGAAAGACACTAACTTGTCACCATGAACAACACAGATACTTCTTTTTCAGATGTTTTATGAATAGAATAGCCAAACACTAGGGCTTACAAAGATATGGACACAGAAAACTGGAAAGTAGAGTTTTTGCTTCATCCATAGAAATCTGATTTGTTGCTCTGGACATCAAATCCACTCTTTGCCGCTGTTTCCTGTGTCCTAGTTTTAGACCACACTGGGTCTAAAAGATAACATTTGTGACTAACAAGAATGATGTTATCCAGGATGATTTTGTGAAGGAATGGGTCAATATTGCTAGCAGTAAATGAGAACATGCTCAAAAATATCCCAGGGATTTTTGCTAACATTAGAATTGTTTAAATACAGGGGTATGTAATGAAACCGTGATCATTCAGAATGGTACATGGAGCACTATGCTTGTAGTTTATTACTCAAGAAACAGATATTGATTTGTTTCTTCTTTTGTTTGTAGTACTGTTGATGAATACTCACCTCATCGAAAGGTATTGTATCAGATATCTGAATTTAAGCCTTTTATGTATGAAATCCTGTTCTACTGGCCAATTGTATAGTGTATACGGTACTTTTCAGCCAATTAGATTTGTATGACCAGACAACAACCTCATAGTGATATGGACCTGCAGTATCCTGTGAGTCTTTCTTCATCTGATTTAGATTGCACAGCATGTGGAACATCCCTTTATTACATATCCTGATGTGCAGATTTTGTATGGCATTCAGAGCTGTTCCCAAGAAAATAAAATATAAAGTATGTGAGGAAACCTGCTGCAGCTTACAGCCTCTGAGATTAACCTTGCAATCTGCCAAGGAAGCTTAGTGTAAGGGCAGAAGGATGCTGCAGGCTGTTACACCTAGCCAAGAGATGTAGGCTCAGTTAATGACTGGATAAACATTCTAAGTGAAGCAGCAGCATTGGCCTAAATTAGCCAAGGTTCATACACGTGTACAGCGCTCCTTGCAATACAAGGGTTTCATTGTGACCTTTACAACAGGTGAAAAAACTGGAAGTGATCTGTATTGATGTAGAATTTAATTTGCTGAGTGAATAAAACGGATTGACTCTGGCCACACTGATACAATAGGATCATTCCTTTACATGATTAAGTGTCCTGTTTTATATTTTTAGGATAGAATACAATACATACAGCCAAAATCATTTTCCACAGCCATCCTAAAATATTCTGATCACTACAAGTTAAATACTTAGAGGGTTCCTAAGTGTCACTTGTAGCATGAGTGCTTCTTTCCGCAATGCAAAATACAGGGGAATATAAAACTACATTATTAAGAGCAAGTTTTCTTCTTATTTTTAATACCAGCCTTAGGCTGACCATACAGAACACTTTCCTTTATGTCTGTGAGAAGTCCAAGGTCCTGTTTGGTTAAATTAGAAACTGAATAGAATGTTTAGACAGGCCCTTCCCTTCCATAGTTTGGGTCTAATTTGAAACTAGCTATACATGTTACAGTCTCGTTGTATAATCCTTATACAATCTCTCTTAGATTTACCGATCACACCTCCATGCAGTACCACACTAGAGCATTCTACTCATTAGGTTTGCCATGCAGTATCACTTGATTTTCAGATTTCTACATCCATTGAGAACTATTTGCCCTTTGCCAGCATCATACTGAGTAAACTGCCCACAAAACTCCTTTGATTGCCGTCATGCTTGTGATTGTCCACAGCATGAGAAAAGACACAGTAGGGTTAATTTATTAAAGAAATAAAGACTGTGGGGACAATTCACAAAGAGGTATCTTACTGCATTCAAGTATGCGGTAAAATACCGCACAGTGTTTTTCCAAAAGTTTGATGGCATTCACTAAAAACGCTACTAAAATACTGTGTTATTTTATGAAGTCATGCAGTATTTTAGTGGAGAAAACTTGCGGTAATGCAACAAGTCATCAGCTGTCAGCGGGTTCCCAGCTGATGGCTGAATGTAAAAAAAAAAAAAGAGAATCACTGGAAATTAACATTTGGATTTTAAAGGGAACTCCCCACACCAAGATAAAAAATAATGGCGTGGGGTTCTCCCCAAAATTCATACCAGACCCTTATCCAAGCATGCAGCTAAGCAGGTCAGGAAAGGGGAGGGGAGGAGGAGCGAGCGCCCCCCCCCCCTGAACCATATCAGGTCAAATGCTGTCAACATGGGGGGTTGATGGTGACAAGGGCTCTGGACATCCCCAAGAGCGAGAGCCAGGTTCTACATATACCATTAAACAGGCCGTAGCCTCTCTTGGATCCCACCTGGTTCCCATGTCCCTTCTTTCATGCCTTCTTCTAGGGGGAGGTGCTGCTCCCCTGAAAAATGCCACCCTAGGCAAGTGCCTTGTGGTAAATACACCCCTGTACATGGTACCCCTACTCTTTCACCAAAAAAGAGTGTAGTGTAAAAAAATACAGGAGGCAGTTTTTGACAAGTCCTTTTATTATAAAAAACAAAAAATGAAAAAATGTACCCTGGTGTAGGTCCATTGTCAATCACGATGCAATACCTCTACCATAATCCTCCCGTTTCCTGACCTGCCGGGTTGCATGCTCGAATAAGGGTCTGGTTTGGATTTTGGGGGGGGGGGGGGGGTGCACGCCATTTTTTTTTTTTTAAATTTTGGTGTGGGGTTCCCCTGAAAATCCATACAAGACACGAATGACTTATTTGTTGTTAAGGACGCGGTGTAATATGACAGTTATTGGTTGTTAAAGACGCTAGTGGCCACCCACTCCTTAACAACCATGCTGGCTGTTAATACGCCTGCGGGTGCTGCCACCTTAACAAGCAACGCTGTTTAATTTATTGAATAACGTTTGGCTAGACCATGCCTTATTCAACAATTTTGTTTATTTATTTAGCGTTATGAACTGACTTTAGAGTCACTTTATGTGGAATTTACTGTGCATTTTTTACTTGTGTGGTAAATACTGCATAAACTGCCTGTCAATTGATATTTTGAATATTGCATGAGATAATTGCAAAAAGTGTGTCACGTGATCCAGTTATCTCATGCAATATTCTTTAGTGAATTGAGCCCTGTATATGTTAATTGGGCCTGTTGGAGCTGTCACTGAAGGTTATACACTGAAGGAAACCCCTGACTGTTCCTCATCAACATTTTTTTTAAATTTCAGTATTGGGTATTTAAAGTGAACATAGGTTTTCTTTATTTATTAACAGCCCCATTGCTTTAGTAAATAACCTCACTGCCATACGTATGGAAGGCTTCTCTTTCTTTCCATACGTTTACAATGCTTTTGTGTGATACCTGGAATCAATTTATATGATATGCAGTAGAATCATTAAGACATGACACCTACCCTCAGGTACCTCTTATGTTGCTTTCAGAAAATAATACACTAAATTCATCATTGATAGTTATGGATCAGATTATGCACAACCTTGCACTGATCTCATGCAAACATGTGTTACTTATAGCATATTGTAAATGAGGGAGGAGTGCAGTGGTTCACTTCGTATACACGCACTGGTCCCATTTCCTCTTCTGCGCTACTGGGAACATTGTAATGTATTAGTGATTCCATTGTTCTCTATCTTATGCCCACAGAACAGAGCCCTCTTCCACCAATTCAGTCTGAAGGAGAACTGGCTGCAGCACAGAGGAAATGTTAATGAAATAGAGGAAAGTAAGTATGACCTGCTTCAGGGTGGAGGTGTTGAAATATCACCATGGAACTGTTACATATAATAGCTGTTACTCTATTTAATATCTAATATGATTAGCATTTATTTAGAGCACTTTTTTGAAGAATAAAAATGGTTTTCAGTTACCTTTAGATATTATTATCTACATGAACCAGGGACATTCTTAGCCAATGCTGAGGAGAGGTCAACTTCTCTGGAATGTTAATACCATATCTAGATTATGAAGTTACTATCCAATTAATTGAAGTGACCCTGTCATGCAAACTATTTGTAGCTGATTTGTTACCTGTGAAATAAGACGGTAAAAAACTAACCTTGCCCAATGGCTGACAGACAGTGCTCTGCTCGAGAATTCTTATCCCCCAAAGTCTGCTTTAAAACAAACACACTCAGAAGGATCTTCTGGGTCCCTTGTAGTGCTCACTTGTTTCTCCCCTCTGGCCTCATATTACTGGAGTAGTAATGTGAAGTCAGAGGTGAGTGTTGACTGTCTTTTCAAAAATGTAACAAAGCTTTCAATAATATTTTTTTTGGGAGAGGGTTGTTTTAAATAAGACAAAAATGGCATTTGATAGCAACCATTAAGATGTTAATTTCATCATTTCACAACCATGAAAGTAAAGATGATTGGTTGCCTTGGTTTAGTAGACTTCTGCTTTGCTAGAAAACTACAGCCTATTAGCCCTGTACAGGTTAGCGTTAGTATGATAATTGAGCAACTGTGTATTCTTTATAGTTCTGGAACTTTTTAATACTGTTTTCAGATATTGTAACATATTCCTGTTGCAAAATATATAGGACCTCCTGGAAGTCATTTAGTAGGTTGTCCTGTATAGTTTGAGGTTCAGCATAACTCTACTTAGCCCTGGGCTTTTTATGATTACTTCTAAATAATTTACCATTAAATAATACTTTTCTTGTTACACACTAAATCGATTATTATTAATAAAGAGCAATTATCATACAGTAAATAGGCAAACCATCTAAAACAGCTGCCATGCAGTCTCCTGTACTAATGCTGATACCTGCAATGCACTATTAGATACAGTAATTGATTGTCCTGACATGTTAACAGCATATTGTGTGTGACATTATCTAGGTGTATCAGACTTTATCCAAGACTTTCCTGTCTAGAACAGTCCTCATGTCACCATTAGTCACAATTCTTACATTTGAATATGCTATCATATTCAGATTATATTGAAATGTTTTCTTTATATATAAAGATGACTAAAGAAATCAGATCATGGATGGGATGTCTAAGAACAGTTAACCCCCCCCCCCCCCCATATTATGTGATTTTAACATAGACATGTATTTATCAGTGTCCCTGTTTATGTACACAGCAATCACTACTAAAATATTTACTGGAGTTCATTTGTGAAAACTGAAGTAAAGGAAGACCAGAGCTGTTGCTTGCCATAGCCCCTTAAATGCTATCATTTTAAAATACATTATAATCTGATTGATATGGACAACAAACTTCTCTTTGCTCTAGTTTTTTCATTTAAGTCTCAGTGCTACTGTAAACAAAATATCACATAAGCATTTTTATTCTTGTCTTCTGTAAGCATTTAGCAGAAGAGCAAGTTCTTCTACAGAGTGCATTTTGATGCATTTGAGTACAGTTCCTCCTGCACATCTGCAGAGGCACATCATTTCACACACCACTGACTCTGTTGATAAAATAAAGGTTGGAGGGAGCACTACAGGAACATAAATGCATAACACTGACAGAAAAATATGCTTAAAGCAATATTACTTTAAGGATAAGCACTTTAAGGGCAATTGGTATAGTACAGTATTCTGGAGTATGGTAGCTGAAGGCTATATATGCAGTCTGGGACTGATATTGTTCTAATTAATAGCCATAATGGAAAAAAGTTTTTTCTATTTTACATTACATTTACATTTTTTCTATGTTACATTATTTTTAAGCTTAATTAATTTAGGGGATTCAAAAAAGAGATGTGCAGACAGTTATACGTAGGATAGATACTTACAGACTTACTATTTATTATTTAATTTGCACATAAAAGACAACAAGATTACCAATGACAATGAAGAGTAGATTGAGTTAGAATTCCTCTAGTTTGCTGATATCAGACGGTAACTTGGTTGAAGAGGGATAATCTATAAAAGTCGAGGACAGGAAATATAGAGTTGTTGCCAATAGCAGCCAATCCAATCTAGGAATTGTACAGATAGAATTCGGTTTCTATAGATAGCTATATATTTATTTCTACAGCATACCCTTGTAAGCCTATGATATCAGCCATCATGATGAGTTAACATAAAAAGACAGAGGCCTTACTGAATAAAACTATTGCAGTTTAAAGTAGAATTCCATCCAGGACTTCCTTTTTTGGATACAGTGGGGAAGGCTTTGAAACTCTTTGTTCCCATTGGGGTGATTTCCCTTCACTTCCTGGGGGTCATTAAGAAGAACACAGATATCTATATAAACCTGAAAGAAGATCCCACTTTATCCAATACACTACATAGAGGATGTTTGGGCTACCACTTCAACATAACATTACCCACTAAAAGCAAATTTAGTACTCATGAAGTCTGAAAAGAGGACAGATTCTGTACTTTGGCAAAAAATGTACTAATAAACTGATTATCCACCGTACAGCTTAGTTAAAAAGTATGCAGCTGTGTGTTAATAATGATATGCTGTATGCAGTGATATGCATACAGCTCAGAAACAATCTTTCAGTCAAGTAATTGTTCACTTTTCAAGCTGTGAACTTTTCCTAAATGTTCCCTGGCGGTGTTCTATGATGTTTTGTGAGTTATTTCCTATTGTGCAGTTTTGCACATTCATACAATAAATGAGACTGGTAGTGTTTGGTGTGTTACTGTTCTGGACAGGATAAATATATATAAATATTATATACTTCATGCAACTTTCATGAGTTTGGCTTACAAAACAGCTGGAACATTGTGCTTGCTTCACATTGCAGATACCTAACAAAAGCAATATAACGTCAGAGGAAATGTATTAAAACTTTCTTAAACTGTGGTACATTTTTGCTGGACTTCCATTGTAAAGAGATATTGTGGAAGGGCATGTTATCTTCCAGCATGTGGATGGTTCAGGTAGCCATGCTGCTGTTTAGGCTGTCACGGTCTGTGCTGCCCATTGACCATACATAGCAGCAACACAGAAGCTGACAGCGGCAGAGTTTACTGAATTCAGCATGGAATGTTCACCCTTGCATCTTGCCTTTTTTGTGCAGTTTTCTGCCGGGTCTACATAACAGATCACTCCTACGTCAGCATCAGGACAAAGGTATCCAGCACTGTACAAGATATCCTGAAGATAGTGGCTGAACGGATACAGCATGCCGAAGAGGACCTGGCTTTGGTCACTGTCACGTTTTCTGGGGGTAATTCCAATTCCATGCTAATTCCACAATTACTAGTGTCACAGAAGAATAATGGCTGACAATTTCTAGCCCAGGTACTCATCTGCCCCAGGGGAAGCGCTCAGCTGTGTGACTCCAACTAATGTGCAGAATTTCAAATAGAGGGCTGTTGCCATAGTGACAGCTAGTCACCCCACTACTTCTCTTAAACATTAGTCTGCCTCTGGCAGGCATGCAGTGCAATGTGCTTCCCTGTGCTTACAAAGGTTTATGCTCATCTCTATGTGTTTAGCTTACAGCAGTAACTTAAACACACAAAAAACTCCCTTAACCATACTTTCCTATAGACAAGTCTAGTTTTATACATGTCAGAAAATCATATCATCTAGTAAAATTAAGGATAGGGAAGCAGGTTTCATACAGAATCACTTTCTGTATGTGTAAAGAGTATGGAATAATATGCTTAAATTAAACCTGCCACAAATCTGAACAAGTCAGTGGCAGGAGGCAGGAAGCAGCTTTACAGGAAAAGTAAAGATTCGCTCAGCTCCCTGTCTGGATCTACCAGCTGTTCTGAAAACATTAAAGCAAGCATTGTCATAAAATTCTCACCCTTTATTCAGTAGATTTAAATGCAAACACTAAGTGCCTTATTGAATTGTTTCAACCAATCACAATGAAACCTACACTGGAAATTCATACTTGGAGAATGATTGGAAGAACTTGGTTCACCTTTTTTCAGGCACTCTGGTATATGAGTATTCAGTCCGTCAATCAAGTTGAAGTAGACCTTCCTGATTAAATGGATTATGCAACCTTCAACAAATCATTAACAAATAAGATATTGACAATGAACGACAAAGCTTTCATGAAAATGTAATAGCAACCCCTTCATGAATATATATAATTATAGGTACTTATATAGCGCCTTCAATTTATGCAGCGCTTTACACACAAACACACACGAAGACTTAACATTAAAGTGGGATTAAACTCAAAAGCAAACATTTATTATATTGAAGCTTACCAATTCTTAGATGTGATGGCTGCATTAGTTTTCTTTTTTAGGTTTTTTTCCTTTTTGTACACCTGGTGATCCAGCCAGTAAGTCTGATGTTTTTTTTTTAACAGAACAAGCTCTATTGCAAAAGTATCAGAGTGTTGAGACAAACCATTTGCCACTGACAGGGGTGCTTTATAATAATCAGCTTTTATTTATTCATGTAAAATCTGTATCCCAAAAGAAAAAAACTGTTGCTGTAACTGCTTGTGTAACTACAGTGTGAGCAGGGATTTGGCTGCATTTTATTTGTGTATCTAAATCTGCTAGTACATCTAACACTCCCTTCCCACGAGGCTGACAATGCTGCTGTCCAAAGATGCTCGAGTATTCCTTCATCCAGCATAGGCTGCACTCTAGTACAGATGGTGTGTTACAGGCCAGATCACCAGGTGAAAACACAGAGTGGGGAAAAAAAATCCTGCAAAAGCTAGCGAAGCCCCTACATGTAAGGATTGTAAGCTGCAATATATTACATTTTAGGTTTAATATTACTTTAAGCTTTGTGCTCATACCAGTACATGGTACATACCTCTTGTGAAGGCAGAATGTCTCTCCTAAGAGCCTTATTTAACTAGTTATTGACTAACTGAATGCTTGTATATTTATTTACTGGTATTATTAATTCACCATAGTGACCTTTTGTCAGATATCTAGTAAAAAGATCAATATGTCGTCTTCTTCTGATTCCACGCACAAATTTCAACAAAGCATGTTACTGTATAGAAGCATGTGTGTCTAATACTTTTTTATACATCTTCATTTCCCAGTACAATAACATCACTGCATCCAGAGCACTGACTCCCTTTCATATACCAACACAGTTCCTTAAGTTCACACCAAACATAAATTATTGTTATTATACAGGATTTATATAGCGCCAACAGTTTGCTCAGCGCTTTACAATATAAAGGGAGACAATACAGCAACCATCCGTTCAATACAAGATGGTTAGGAGGGCCCTACTCCTTTAAAGCCTACAATCTAAGAGGGAGGGGCTGGTGGTACAAAAGGTAATAACTGTGGGGGATGAACGGATAGGAGGAATAGAAGATTGCGTTATTAGCTGAAGGCAGGATAGGCTTCCCTGAAGAGATAGGTTTTCAGAGATCGCCTAAAAGTGGGCAGAGTAGGCGATAGTCGGATAGATTGGGTAAAGAGTTCCAGAGGATGGGGGAGGCTCTGGAGAAGTCCTGAAGACGAGCAGGAGAGGAGGGGACAAGGGAGCTAGGTCGTGGGAGGAGTGGAGAGGACAGTTTGGGTGATATTTGGAGACAAGATTGGTGATATTTTTGGGGCAGAGTTATAAATGGCTTTATATGTTATTGTTAATGTTTTGAATTTTATCCGTTGGGCAATGGGAAGCCAGTGGAGGGATTGGCAGAGAGGGATGGCAGATATGGAATGGTTAGTAAGGTAGATGAGTCTGGCAGCAGCATTCATGATAGACTGAAGAGGGGATAGCCTGCGATGAGGTAGGCCAATGAGGAGGGAGTTACAATAGTCAAGGCGAGAGATAACAAGGGAGTGAATAAGTTGCTTAGTAGTCTCCGTGGTTAGGAACGGGCGTATCTTGGAGATGTTGCAGAGGTGAAGTATACCAGATTTGGACAGCGATTGGATTTGGGGCTGAAAGGACAGATGGGAGTCTAGGATTACACCTAGTACCCTGGCATGAGGGGAGGGACTGATGATTGTGTTATTGATCTTGATGGAGAAGTCAGGGGAGGGGGTGCCGGCTGGAGGGAATATTATGAGCTCTGTTTTGGAAAGATTTAGTTTGAGGAAGTGGAGTGACATTCATGCTGATATGTCACTTAGTAGGTTAGTAATGCGACAGGAGACTGAAAGGTGAGGTGAGGAGTAGAAAGATAGATTTGTGTCTCATCAGCATAGAGATGGTACTTAAAGCCATGGGAGTTTATCAAGTGACCAAAGAGGAGGTGTAGATGGAAAAGAGAAGGGGTCCAAGGATAGAACCTTGAGGGACCCCTACAGAAAGAGGAAGTGGAGAGGAGGAGACAGAGCTATAAGTAATGCTGAAGGAGCACTGTGATAGGTAGGAGGAGAACCAGGAAAGAGCAGTGTATCGGAAGCCAAGAGAGTGGAGTACTTTGAGGAGGAGGGGATCGTCAACAGTATCAAAAGCCGCAGAGAGGTCAAGTAGTAAGAGTATGGAGTAGTGGCCATTGGTTTTTGCAGTTAGGAAATCATTAGTGAGTTTTAGTAGGGAAGTTTCAATGGAGTGTAGTGAGCGAAAGCCAGACTGTAAAGGGTCAAGAAGGTTGTTGTCAGTGAGGTAGGGGCTCAGGAGATTGTAGACTAAGCGTTCTAAGAGTTTAGAGGTAAAACGAGAGCAGGGAGATGGGTCTTCAGTTGTTCAGGTTGGTGGAGTCCAGCGAGGGCTTTTTAAGTATGGGAGTGATGTGTTCATGCTTTAGAGGGGAGGGGAAGGCACCATTAGAGAGGGAGAGATTGAAGATGTGAGTGAAGGAGCATAGGACAGAAGAAGAGGGTGACCGTAGTAGTTGAGAATTGACATGATCCAGAGGGCAGGTGGTGAGACGGGCTTCTTAGAAAACTTTAGTGACCTCTTCAGTAGTAGCAAGGCCAAGTGTTGAGGGAGGTTTAGTATAAGGTATGCTAAGTGGGATAGATGTCTGTGTAGTGGAGATGCCCCTACGATCCTTGTTTTTGAAATGATTTGCAATCTTGTAAGCAGTGAGTGAGTTACTGGGTGGAAATAAATAACTCACATGGATTAAACCATTTAAAAAAAAAAATCTTGTTTGCTACCCTTGATTACAGAGCGATGAACCTAACCTGTTTGTTGTACTGCACAGGTGGTAGATCTACTAAAGAAGAACTTCTAATATATATCCATTGCTTTGTTGGCAAATTTGAAATAATGATTATACTTTCAAAAGAGCTTTCAATGGCCAAGGGGTCTACTTCAAGGCCTTGCAATGAATTTCTATTGATTTTGTCACATACTATTAACTTGTTTGACTGCCCCCAATGGCATGTTACGCATATTTAGCTCTTAAAATCTTGCTAGCTCATCCTGTTACCTGTTATATTTTGCATACAGCTGGATAAGCAGAATGCCTTAAGAATACTGCTGTTCACTGTTGCTGTGGTGGAATCCTCATAGCTGCTCAGGAACTAGGAATACGGAGAATTATAGAGACTGTGAGTTTTATTTACTAAAGGAATAAAGGCTGTTCACATTGCAAAGCGAATGTTAGTAAACAAGGTAATACTTTGAAAACTCAATCATGTGCAAGGAAAATTAAAAAACTGAATTTTTGCTAGCACATGATTGGGCATCCAAAGTGAACAGAGCTTCACCTTATTCATTAGGCACCATGCACACTAGCACTCAAAAAATGCTGGATAAAATATTCTGGTAATAGCGGTTTTTAGTAGCGTTTTAGTAGCGTTCAGAAGTGTTTAGGAGTGTTAGCATTTTATTAGCATTTTTACAGTACATGTAGAGAAAAAAAAAGCTGTTAGAAGCATTTGCGTTTTTTCTGCTGGAAAAACACTGCAAAAAAACTCCAGGCACATGGGCACATAGGATAACAGTATTTCGCTTCTAGGAGCAGAAAAAAATGCTAATAACCGCTTCTAGGAGTTTTAAAAAAACACTGGACCCTGAACATTTATATTGCAGCGAACTTACATTTTGCAAAGAGAACATTCACTTTGCTCAGTGAACAGTCTCTATCCCTACATGTGCAAGAAAATTTGAAATAAAAACAGGATTTTTGCTTGCAAATGATTGGATATTTAAAATGAACACATATTTTACTAAGCCAAATGAAATTTTGTTTTATTTTTCACTTTTCAAAGTGAACAGCCTGTTCTTTAGTAAATTAACAATTCCATTTGTAAAACAGAAGACATTCAGCTTTAACAGACACAGGTTCTTTACTTTTAGCAGTTTCATTATTCGGCATCTAAACAGTATTTGATTTTCTCCATAGAAAAACATGAACTTCGGCCAACAGAAATGGCATTATCCAAGTCACTGGAGTCATCGAGTCGCATTTACACTTACAGGAAGAGTGAGACTTTGGTAAGTGATGTAACTTCTACAAAACAGATACAGTTAACATGGGGCTTAATGTATGACCACTGAAACAGAGGAAATAATTGTGGTGCCTTTATACCAAGTAATCAAACTCCAACCTTCTTTTTCTAACTTGCACAGTACTATATGTAATTTCTAAATCACATATAGGATAATGTCTCTATACTGTGAATGAAAAAGGATTTATGGGGAGTTCCTTGACCATGAGGCCACAAGGTGAATGCATTTATCAAGGTTATGGAACGTTAACCAGAATTCTGATATCTTTAAAGGGGATGAACAATAACTTGACGTCTTAATATACAGCAACAGAAAACATTTTAAAAAATCTGCAACTTTTATCAATAAAGCTGAACTTTAGCTAAAACATTTTTTATCCTTGCAGCTTTAGTTACATCACTTCTCTGTAATAAAATTTCTCTCATAATGCCCAGGCAGCTGAATTCTATGAAAATCTTCACTGCATGGCTGCCCTGGCCTCTTGCTGTTGCTAAACATGTAGCGCTGTGGGCGTTAACAACTTCAGGTCTCCAGACTCAGCTGCGCTAAAGATGAACCAACAGAAACTCGCCCCCTGCTGCACTCTCCTCCATTTAGAAAAGTTATTTCACTGATTACACTGCCTGTAACATTATCTGTGAATGGGTGGGGGTGGGGGTGGGGGGGGGCTGGGGGGATCTGATCAGTCACAGGATTCTCTCCCTCACAAAAGCTAATAACCCCTACAAAGCTGTTCAGGAGCAGGGAAAGGACAGGGCAGTCCTGCAGTTAAGATTTCTTCAGAACTCAGCATTTTTTTTTTTAAACTAAACTTCAGCATTAAAAAAGCCATCCTTGCATTTAATAAAGTCTTGACTAGGTTGAAATAACGTCAACATTTCCTCCAGGGTCTTTTTTTTCCAGTAATCAGACAGCAACATTATAACTTTGTAGAAAGTTACAAGATGAGAGGCTTTAGCAGAGACTGATCTGTGTCATACATTTGGAAACACAGCCAAGAATTGGACAGGCATCAGGATTTGCATGAGTGTGTGGTCTCTGAGCCAGCATCCATGTTCAGGATAATGCTGGAACCAAGGTGACTCCATCCATGTAGAGAAATTAGCAGATAAGGACATTATCAGTAGAATACAGTGATCAGTGAGAGATACAATGAAAAATACTTACCTGTAAGTGTTGGATTACTTTGCATGCAGTCACTTAACTTAAAAAAATCTATCAGTTCCTAGGTCCACTTTAAAAGTTATTGCAGTGATCTGTTATAATAAACTAGCTAGCCATACACTTTTTTTTTTCAATGAGCTGTATCTAACAGATTCTTACATCCACACATAAAAAGCATGGATAAAGAAATCTCCCCTTTTTATTGTATTTTTTATACTAAATATGTATATAATCACAGTTTTAAAAAATAAAAAAATTTGATAAGATTATTTACATCAAGCATGCCTTTTTTGCATGTTTGTCCAATGGCACATTGAAAAGACTATACATTCCCTTTCAGCCCATCACATTCACATGTATTTAAAAAAACTGTTGAAAGGCCTCTTTCACAATGGTGTTCCATCTGTTAACTCTTCTTCCATCTGGTGATGGATGAAAATTAATTTCTTTGGGCAAATGAATGTAAACAGATGATCAGCCATTTACGCCCACATTCGTCCAAGTCGATTTCTTTTAAACGGAACAAATCTATATCCTGTTTACATCTGTTTACCTGAATAGAGGTAAACAGATGTAAACGGACAATGTCTGGGACCTGTCAGCATCCTCACAACCAGTGACTCTTCTCTGCTATATGACAGCAGAATGTAAACAAAAGAGCTGACATTCTTTTTTTTAACCAGCATGTGGGTTCCCTCCTAATCCCGTCAGGTCTGGTATGGATTTTGGTGGGGACTTCACAGCAAAAAAAAAACAAAAAACAAAATGGCATGAGCCCCCCCCCCAAATCCATACCAGACCCTTATCCGAGCATGCAACCCGGCAGTCCAGGAAAGGGGAGGGCCTTGTGTTTGGGGATGCAGGGAGTGACTTATTGCAATCTGGAAGCTCAAGCTTGAACAAGGGGGCCCCCAGATCTTGCCTCCCCATGTGAATGAGTATAGGATACATAGTCCTTTATTAAAAGAAAAATGTCCCCCATCATCAATCAAATGCTGCAGACCAACACAGTAAAAAATAATCCTCCACCTGTCAAACCCAACTGCTCCACTGCTTGCCTCCCACCAACTGACACTCCTCTTCTCCCTGCTGCTGAAATAAACTAAGGGGCAGGTCACCAAGTGATGTCACTGACCATATATATCCATTTATTTATGTATTTTAAAGTTTGTCAAAAACCGTCTTTTTTTTTTTTTTAATTTACTGCTGTTTTTTGGTGAATGGGTAGGGGCTGGGGCTGTTATTTGAGGACCCCCTAGTTGAAGAAGGCTTCCTAGATTCCAATAAGTCACAACTTGTATCCCTACAACTACGTGGCTAGGGTTCTTGAGAAGAGGCATGTGGACTGGTATGGTCGGGGGAACCCACAATCACCCCCTCCTTTTCTGGCCTGAGAAGCTGCATGCTCATTTAAGGGTCTGCTGTGGACTTTGGGGAAAGGCCTGGCACGGATTGATGGTGGGGCCCGCACGCTATTTAAAAAAAAAAAAATAATAATGTCGGCTCTTTACATTTTGCTGTCGGCAGGGAATCCCCCACTGACAGCAGGGATGAGTAATAGTTAGAGGATAGGTTTACCTTCCATAACAAGTTACGATCAGACCAGTCCCCACTCCCCCCCAATCCCCGCTTTGACAGCTAGTGGGGGGATCTTCTCCCCCCTTGCTAGTTGACAAATTTTAAAAAAAACGTGGCCATGTAGGGTGCCCACGCAGCCGAGTCATTTATTCACTGTCATCTGTGAATGAGAGACTACAAGTCCCGACAGCCTTAGCGGCTGTCAGCTTGTAGTCCTCAATGAACTACCATGTTGCTGTGAAGCACTGTGGTAGTTCATTCATTCTTCCTGTCATTATATCTGCTTGCTCGTACATCCCGTACAGCAAGCAGATATACTGACAGATCTGCGGGAGACCTGCATGGCACCAGCGATCTGCTGATTGCTGGTGCAATGGTTTACAGGCTCCTGCTGACAACAATAATAAATGCACATTTTTTTACCTGCAAAAAAATATGTATTTATTTTTTTCTAAACGGTGAACTTATCCCTTAAGGATGCCAGCAGGCTGGTGAAAAATGGATGTAAACTGAACTGAAAACGGATGTAAAAACTGGTGTAAACCGATGTAAACTCAAAAATCATTTTTTTTCTATGCATAAACTGAATGACTGAATGGATGATGCCTGTGTAAAAGGGGCCTATCTTGTTACCCTAAGGTTATGTTCAACCTGATTTTTCTATATTTCTTGACTTGTGTTACATATAGAATATTTGGAACTCTACATCTTTAGTTATTGCTATTATGTTTTGCTTCCTTACAAAAAAAAACATGTTTCCAATTATTTGTACCATCTTGTCTAGAACTGAGAGAGTTAATTACTACCTGCGCTATATTTATTTTCATTATGCTGTCTGCCTGGTCAGTTTTTTATAATTGAATTTCCGACCAGAGTGCTTTGTTCAATGAGTGTCAATTCATCACACTCCCGTGCTTTCAAGGCCTTTTCCTAAATTGACTGAATAATCTTGCTGAAGGTGAACAGGCATGAAGAGGAAATAAAGTACACTCAGCCTGGACTGCTATTGCTAACAGCCTCTTTTTTTAATTATCTTTAGAAGAAATGTTTATGTAGGATGTTTATGTTTTGCAGAACCCATTTGCAGAGAATGAAGAGGCTCAGAGCAGATCTGTTAGAATCCTAGGGATGAACACCTGGGATCTTGCTTTGGAATTGACCAGTTTTGACTGGAGTCTCTTCAATTCAATACATGAGGTAAGATCTGCTTGAAAGCCCTGATTTATACAAGAGCAATGAGGAAAATTTACATTGTGACAGCTGAATGAATAGTGCTGATCTTTCAGACAACAGGCTATAGAACCAAACCCATTGAGTTTTTAACTTCCCGTTTAAATTTTCTAAGTAAGATGCCTAGAATGAATAATAAACTAACACCATAAAGTGAACCATAAACATAAAATGTGCACCTACTGATTTACATAAATAACATAAAAAGTGCCCCTACTAATCATATCTTCCCTAAGGAACAGAACGTCTACTCACATACAGGTGTGACTATTTTTTTTTAATTTTTTTAAAAAAGTAACCTACAATTTCCAGATATGGACACACAGGGCATATATGCCCTCAGATGACATTCCTGCCTTACACTCCACTATCCCTTTACCTCAGAACTCCCTACTCAGCGGATCAGTGTCCATTATACTTATCTATCTTACATAATATAATCATTATATCTACTGGTATGTAATATTCATTTGATATATTGTGATATTTTGCCTCGAGATTAATAGCCGACATCTTAGGTCCTGTCTGTGTTACGGGAGAGTATATACTAGGTTTATGCACAAACTGTGACCCGTATCTGTATATGACTTGATATGCCTTTCATATTTCCATAAAATACTTTTTGGAAACAAAAAAAAATAAAAAGTGAAGAATTCATATTCAAATAACATAGAAAGTGGAAGGTTGATATATCATAAAAATATAAGTACAGAAAATATAAAGTTTATGTACGAAAATGAAGAAAGTCCAACACCAAATGATATACTTCAAAATTAATTCCAGGATACAGCAGCACAAGCATTCATCTGTGGATCCCAAATCAGAAGTCCAAGCAGAGCAAAAACACCATGTGTCTTTTTAACCCACGTGTGTGCGTGTGCTTACCAAAGCTAGTGTGACTCTCTTTGCAGAGAAGTCAGGAAGCGCTTATGTGAGTGAACCCTCGCTAGGGTAAGCAGGATCCTCCAGTTGGCCTCAAAAGATAGATGTTCCTCTGTTTTAGGGTCCCCAAAAATAAAGAGAAATAGAACACCAGGCTTGCAAAAATGCAGATGATGCTTTATTAAAAAAAGCTTATTCTTAATAATTTTTTTTACCATTTGTGTGGTATCTTTTTTTTTTTTATTTAACTTCATGTTTGGTGTTGACAACACAGTGCCGTTTTCCTCAGAAATCCAAAGCCGCATTGTCAGCCCTGCCTGCTGGACTACAAACATACAAACATCTGTCTGTTTACCCCCCCACCTCACAGTGCTGCTGCCTTGACTCCCAAGAGACATTCCACATACAGAGTGTGGAAAAAGGACTCTTGGGAGATGTGGTTCTGGGGTCATGCCTACATCAATTTAAACTGACCTCCTAGCAGCTGCCACTGAAAGAAATTTAGAAGCCTTACGATGATGAATAATAAATGTTGTTTCTTGCTACAGGAACAAGGTAAATGAATACAACATTTTGGGGGCATGATCTAGAGCAGAGTTGTCCAACCTGTGGCTCAAGATGACTATGAATGCAGCCCACACAGAATTGTAACTTAATTAAAAGTGTTTATTTAGGACACTTTTTTGTAAAAATGTGTTTATACTTAGAAAACACTTGCAACCCAAGAAAATTTGACAGTGTCTCTATACTGGATTTTTATAAGTCCGAAAGAAAAATATCCCACTCTTCACAATCATACCTTATTTATGTCATCATGCAGCAGCACCTATATTTGTGAGCAATTATTTTCAAGTACACGAAGGGCAAAAGTAGAACCAAAATATCTGATGACCACTTTGAGAATTCATTGAGAATTGCAACTACATCCATTGAACCAGATGTTGATGCGTTATTTTTAATTTTAAAATACATTAAAAAAAAAAAAAAAAGATGTTTTGTTGCTCAGATAAGTACATTATCTATGTCTGTGATCTGCCCAACCTTTTCTGCTCATCCGCTTTCCCTATTGTTAGTGCATTTTATGTGTGGCCCAAGATAAATCTTCTTCCAATGTGGCCCAGGAAAATCAAAAGGTTGGACACCCGATCTAGAGAGGGTAGAAAAAGGCTTGGCAGTTCATCTGAATATTTTCTATGCAAATCCTTTAATAAGAAAATAAAAACTGCCAAAATTGCTATACGATTATACTCACAGCCTAGGCAGATTCAGAGCAGGCAGTCATTTATTGTAGCTATTCCAAGGAGGTGACAAGGAATGCAGTAATAAAAATTAACATTTTGAAATGCAGATACACCTTGCAGACTAAACCAATTTCTCAGTGCCCAGTACTGTTCAAATTTTTTTTCAGCACTACAGCATATTGAGACATCATTGTGCATGTGTCAGTTCATTTGTTAAAAAAAAAAAAAAAAAAAAAAAAAAGAGTATGTCACACTAACAAATTGCTAAAGGCCGGCTCACACATGCAGCCCTTGAGGGAAGGCTGTAAAAATAGGCAGTTGAGGCACGGTTTTACCATCCCTTTGATCTAATATGGCTGCCAGAGAGGGTGTTACACATGCCTTAGCTGTGTTTTATGGCCAGTACCACCAACCAATGCGGCTCATCCAAGTACATGGCTCACGCTACAACCGCTTGCAATGCACACAGTTGCGGCATGGTGGTGTGGGCATTTTAGGGTTAAAACAGGCAAAGTTTCCCCTCCCAGCTGCCTGTCAAACACCATAGTGGTTCGCTTTTCAGTGAGGTGGCAAAGGTTGTCATCTGTGTAAATGAGCCCTTACAAGGTCACTCAATGAAGCAAATCCAAAAAAGCTGCTGTACAACTTTTCTGGCACTAATCTATCTTTCTGTTTTATTATGCCAAATTCATGATGCGTGTGCAACACTTTTGATTCCAACAGTGACTCGTTCACCAAATTCAGGTAGTTCTAAAAATGTGCCATTTTTACGTTGTGGTGCAATGAATGCACCAAATTCAATTTAAAACCCCAATAGTTTTTATCTAATGAAAGTGGAGCTATTTAAGACCAACTGTCTGGACCAGTCTTTAGGAATTCCAGGGAATGTCTCCTACAGTGTTCTCCTTCACTAGTCTCACTCCCTCACTAGCCAAACCAGAAACAAGTTGGGTTGATTTGCTAAAAACAAACAGGCTATTCACTTTGCAAGGGAATTTGCACTATGCAGGGAATTTCTCCTTAGGTTAATATATGTGATGAAAATTCACGTTCCAAAGAATACAACACATGCAAGGATGATTAAAAAAAACTGTATTTTTGTTTGCGCACAATTGGATGATGAAAGTCAGCAGAGCTTCACCTCATTCCCTTGTTACTGCAAATTCACTTGCAAAGTGAACATCTTATTTGCCTTTAGTAAGTCCACCCTGTTGTGTCTATTAGCGACATCCATTGGATAGAGTGGAAGCTGCATGTTGGTGCTTCTGCTGCTGGCAAAGTGTTGTTAGCAGTGGAATCACCAATGTAACATCAGTCTTAAAACCTGTGCTAGGTATATGTACTAACTGAGAGACAGACCTTATTCTCTGGTCAAGCCTGGAACAGCACAAGGAACAATAATTTCATAAATTAGCATTGTGTCCAGTCTGCAATTATTTGTATTTCAAAATTTGATAAGGATGGCACAGTTTGGTGCATATGAAACATTATTTGAAAGCTGGGTATACTTGTAATAAATTGTATATGTAACTGTATTTATTTTTTGTTTTATCTACCTGATTTGACCTTGGTAAATCTTCTTTTATTGCAGCAAGAGCTGATATACTTCACATTCAGCAGACAGGGGAAGAGTGAGAACACACTGAACCTGAGTCTTTTGCTGCAGAGGTGTAATGAGGTCCAGCTCTGGGTAGCCACAGAGATCCTGCTGTGCAGCCAACTGGGAAAAAGGGTGCAGCTAGTAAAAAAATTCATCAAAATCGCTGCTCAGTAAGTTGGAAACTTCACCATTGGTGCTATATAAACAGTAGATAACCATTTATAAGGAGTTTTTAGATAAAGCATGTTCAATCCTAATTCATAGTCTTTATTTCGCTTTTGATTTTTAGGAATGAGCGAAGTTACTTTTCGTACTCAATTCCGCCTGAACCTGTGGGAAACTGTACTAATAAGGATGAGCTCAGGTTTGGGCTGAACCTGCAAGAAACTTTTACATGATAGCATACCCCCAGCTCATCCCCTTCCATGCAGCTGTATGTAACAAAGGACTGAAGATAATGGTGACATTGATTAAAATTGCCACATGGCCATATTTGGGGATTGTCAGTGACTAAACATGGCTATGTGGCCATGTTAGATCAATGATGTAACCAAAATCCCTGCCCATTTGTTACATGTGGTAGCAAGGTGGGGGATGCCATGGTTACAGCTGATTGAGCTGGGGGCCTGCTATCATGTGATAGTTTCCCATGGGTTAAGCCCAAACTTTAGCTCTTCCTTATTAGTATTCTAGGTAAAATTTTAGAATTTGATTTTAAAGTGGTACTAAAGGCAGAAGGTATTTTTTTACCTTAATGAATTCTATGCAAACCTTCTAGTGTAGCTCCCCCTCAGCCCCCCTTATATTCAAGCCCTATCTGGATCCAGCAATGTGCATGAGAGCAGCGGCTCTCCCAGGTCTCTCTTTCCACATTGGCACACACAGCAATGGGAGGCACCAGCTCCTGTTGCTGTCAATCACAACCAGTGATCCAATGCGGAGACAGCAGGGGGCGGAGCTGAGCCACTCTCTGTGTGTGAATAGCACTTAAGAACTGTGCCCTTTAGAACTGTGCACAATCCTGGGGTACACCAGTCTGAGGGCCCGTTCACACCAGGAGGTGCATCTGAGCGTGCTTTTTTTGCGTGTTTGCGCATGTTACATTTTCTTTAATGTTCAGTGATCTTAGGTTGTAACTGTTCTCCCTCCAAATTCCCCCTCATAGCACAAATCCCCTATCCTAGCACAACCCCCCCTTCTAGCGCAAACCCTGCCCCATCCCCTCTCCTAGCACAACCCCTTCAACTCCCCCCTACTAACAAAAATCCCCCACAAAATCCCTCCTCCAAGCAGAACACTCCATCCCCCCTCCTAGCATAAACCCTCATGCCCAAATCCCCACTCAACCCCCCATCCCCCTTAGCACAAATGTGGGCTGTGCTCAATCCTTTCAAATCCCCCTTGGTAGGCTGTGCTCTCTCCCCATTCTTTTCCTCACCCAACTCCTTTCCCTCCCAGAGTTAACATGGATCATGGATGAGAGCACTACTGTGTTAACTCCCATGTACTGCGACTCTGCGAGGAGAAAGAGAGCACAGCCTACATGACTCTCTCCTCCTCCCTGCAGCTACGGGTACTATTGCTGACAGAACAGAAAGCTGTAGTGCTGCCCAGCATTTCATTAACAACCGATAACGTCATCGGTTGGTAGGACGTGGGCAGGCGGCCCGCACAGCTTTCTGCTGGAAATAGTACTCATAGCTGCAGGGAGGAGGAGAGAGCCGTGTGGGCTGTGCTCTTTCTCCTCACAGAGTCAAAGTGCACGAGAGTTAACACGGTAGCACCGGGATGTGGCTGCAGCACTCCTGCAGACTCTTTGTGTCACCACGGTTGTAAAACTCTGGAATAGACAATGTTCACTCTCAGGAGTGAGCCTTCAAGTGCCCCCATAGCAAGAGGCTTGTTATTGGAGGCACTCGGCTGGGAGGAGGAGCCAGGACCATTGGTGGGGGACCCAAAAAGAAGTGGATTGGGGATGCTCTGTGCAAAACCATTGTACAGAGCAGGTAAGTATAACATGTATGTTAAAATAAAAATTACGATCTTTAGAATCACTGTAAGGCCCAACACTGCTAGAATAACAATATGCTATTTTTTTTAACAAAGATCATTGACACTTCCACTCTTTTCCCAGAGACGTGACCATTCATCATATTCCATTGTTTAAAGGGAAATTATTTTATATTATTGGGCACATGTTTTGAGTTATTACTTGTGATGTAGTTTTATGTGCCTTTTACATTATTACACAAGTCCTCCTCAATATTGTTATGAAAGAAATATGGAGAGAGAAAGATATAGAAACCAATGTGCTTCCAGGTTTTATTGTCAATGCTTAACAAGTTGAAGTTAGAATCTGACTGGCTACCATACACATCTGCACCAGATTCTGAGTGCACCAGTTTTAGTAAATCTCCCCCATAGTCCTGCACACTGAGAAAGAGCAGCAAAGCACAACTATTGTGTAGCACATGAATGAGGCCTAAATGGTGTTTTTGTACATATCCCCGCAGTTCATCTTTAACTGCTACCTTGATTATCCATGAATTGCAAGTGTTCTCACAGGAGACTTGTTTCCATTTCTCAATGTTCATGTACTGTGAATCCCATACAGACATCTTCTGATAGAAATATAAATGACAGTGATTGGTTACCTCTTGCCACATTTTCTTCTCATTTGTGGAAAAACGAAGCCAAGTCTCTGGACTTGTTAAGTAAAACATCTCAGAATCCCTTTGTCTTACAGCAACTAATCGTTCTTCTCTTTCAGGCTGTGCATTATGCAGAGAATTCCTAAGGGTATATGTGTGAGCTGGAATAAAATCTATAGGCCATGCATGTTATTTATGAATCGGCAAGTGTGTCTAGGAGTGCCTCTTTTTATTTATAATTCTGAGGTTCCACTGGGCTCCCTGATGATTTACATTTCCAGGCTCCATCCGTCAGCATCCAGTTCTATTAGTCGGGAATAATTTATCATAATTTCCATTACAATCAGTGCAGCCAAGTTATACTGTAGTCTGGTTTAAAACTACACTCCAGGCAGAAAGCTTAATACATACACTATATGGGAACTGTTCTGCCTATCAAAAAATATGTAATTTTGTTCAGTCATCCCTCAGCTCACTCTGTTAGCATGTTCCTTGTCAGCACACATACATGCAGCAAAGCTTGATTTGCTACTAGTATTACCCCTCCAGCTAATGTGAGAGCTACTGTGTAGGAGATTACAGGAGGCGGATATTGAGGTGAATTGAGGTACTTACATTAACTGCTTTTAAAACAACTCTTACTCAATGTTTATTTGAAACTTCCATACTTTCACAGAAGAAATGCTAACCTCTTCTGCAAGTTTCTTCAGAAACTGACACTAGTGTCTTTCGCCTGTGTCTCCTGTAGAACTGAATGATTGAGCTATGCAAATTATTCCTTTGTGAGTCAACTAAGCATTCATTTGAAAAAAAAAATACTTAGTACTGTTTAATTAATCCTGAGTAAAGTGTATCCTTGCTAACCTAAATCTATGATTTTATTAGGCAGAGGTTAAAACACAGTTAGATGCAACAAAGCCTGTGAAGATAGAATTATGGGGCCTTTCACCGTCAACTTTGCTCCAGGGGCTGTCATACTTTTGCTTAATTTACTACCTAGAAAGCCATTGTCCTTGAACCAGTATGCAGCTAGTGAAGTCAGGAATCCTGGCCTGCATACTTATTGTAGGAAAGGACTGAAGCAACAATCATGGTTATTGAGTCCTTAAAAATTAAACTCACATTGGCAGCTACTATATTTCTCTGCTAGTGTGCTCTTTTTGGGTATTTGAGAAATAGAATAGCATGGTGTGTGTATGGTAAATAAAATGTGAGTGATGCATTGTTTTTTTCCAACAGTTGTAAAGCTCAAAGAAATTTGAACTCTTTCTTTGCAATTATAATGGGTCTGAACACAGCATCTGTCAGTCGGCTGTCACAGACATGGGAGGTAAGACTTTTCAACATTATAATTGGTGATACTTCTTTTGAGTTTAACAAAACTTAAGTACCTTATGCTGAAGACTTGCCCTCTTCTAATTTAGTACTTTTCATGGTGCCTGTTTGCACCTTATCCTGAAGACTTGCCTCCTTCTAATTTAGTACTTTTCACGGTGCCTGTTTGCTGCCTGTGGCCCCACTCCTGTGCCACCATTTTGAAAGTGTATGTCTGGGGTCAACCCACTATCTAGTTGTACTGTGCATAATGACACTGTACTACTCTAGGAGGGTGATCTGTTTTTTTTTAACACTGTTATTGATTTAGCAATGCTGAGCACTGTTCTAAACAATCGTTAACTGAATTGGCTTTCAATTCATGACAGCTTGTTTACTGTTGACATGCTGTGATTGGCTACAGCTAATCACATGGTACAGGGTGCCAGATACCATGTGACTACTTTGGGCCAATCACAGCATCACAACAGTAAGCAAGCTGTTCATGAATGAACGCGTAATATCATGTGATCGCTATGATTGGTCATAGCGATCACGATACCCCAGCCGCTCACAGCAATTGGGTACCAAACACCATAATCCGCTGGACACAACGGTCACAGGATCACACCACTGCGTGCCTCAGGAGGCATGCTAGGTCACGTGCTCAGTGACGTACAGGTACATTGGTGAACCTGTAGCAGCCATCCATGCGCAGTACATTTCTTACTCTGAGCACGTCGGCAAGTGGTTAATCAGAGCCATTTGTCTGGAACCTTTGTTTCATAGGAAAGATTAAGTGATGCAAAACCCATCTTACAAAAACATCAGTCTCTTAGCAGCAGTGACACCAGAATATTAACTTTTTATCAGCTTAAGATGGTCTGGACCTTTTGAGCAAATCCATTATTTTATCTTGCTTCAGGAACAAAAGCTTGAAGAGCCCTGGTTAAGCGAACATTGTTATTACCTTGCAACACACTTGGGTTGATTTACTAAAGGCGAATAGACTGTACACTTCAATTATCCAATCATGTGCAAGCAGAAATATTGTTTTTTGTATGTTTATTGCATGAGATTGGGTTTTCCATGCAAAGTGACGTTTCACTTCGGTGTACTAAGCTCTGGAGCAGCTGCACTTGCAAAACGCACAAACTATTTTCCTTTAGTAAATCAAACCCATTGGTTATACACTTCTATTAACAATAAACTAAAAATCACATACAGGATCTGTGATAAAGATTTTAGTCAGAATTTAGTACATAACTCAGGAATTCAGGATAAATTGATATTTCTGATTTGGAAGTTTTTAGAGTTGTCAGCAAGCCTCACAACAGCCCTGGATTCACAGTGTTAGTTTGCATATGCATGTTGTGGTCTTCTGTGAGGAAATCCATAACCTGTGCCCTATTGTATGAGCTTGAGGACCCATTATTGAGCTTGTGCACTGGTTGCCAGTGAATTGTGAACTTGTAATTGGAAGAAAACTGTCCCCACTTTGTGTCTATAAACCATATCTAAGATCTATTTCTATGATTTGGACCCACACTGCTGAAAATATGCAGATGTATTTTATACAGTTGCTTACTTTCAACAATTTGCAGACATTCAAATATTTGCTTAAATTGCCAATGAAACTGTTTTGTAGACCAGTCCATCTGGACATTTTTTATGTTTGGGTATGCTTTTACAGGTATATACAATTTTGTTTTGTTTTTACCTGATGTCCTGGCTTCATTTATCAGCAGTAGCAGATTAGTAATACAGATGCTTGTCATTCATTGCACGTTGCCTACTACTCCACAGGGCACAGAATCCAAGCAGAGCCGTCAAACTATTTTTTGTGTTCCTGTGCTACAGGGTAACATTATATATTCTCTCTTTATTTTCCTTCCAAGAAAATCCCAGGAAAGTTCAAGAAACTTTTCTCCGAACTTGAAAGTCTGACGGTGAGTTTCCTGCCCTGTTTACACTTGTTCTGTCGCAGTGCAGATATTTCATTTTTGCTTACAGCTTTCCCATCACCTCAACACAAGGTTGGCTGCTGTATAATATGCCAAACCGAAACTGAGCAAATTTGGAATAACAAAGGATGAAGGAAGATCTGCATCTGCAGAATTGGGAGTAGCAGTGATTAGAGATGGGCTTTGTATTGAGGTTAATAGCTTTTTGCATATGGCATTGCCATCCAGATAACAGGTCTGAACATGGAATAATATTTGAGAGGATTTTCAGTGTAAAAAATGTATTAAGTATTAATGCATTAAGTATTTGACACTGTGTACATTTTGTTCATGTTATGAATCATAACTTATTCAAGCTGTGGATCCTGCAAGTACTTTTCACAGGGATTGTATTTCAAGAGGAAATGATTGTAAACAATAGACTTTCTATAAAGTTAACTGAAATTAATGTAAAAGTTTGGCCAAAGCTCTTTTTGACCATACTTCTCGTGGGTCACAGGAGTGCCCTTAATTTTGCTCTCCTGGCTGTGACCCAAATTGAGCTTACAGTGGGCTAAAGTGCAGGACAGCTGCAGCACAAATCGATGCTGCAGCCATCTAGGTGAGTACATAGCTTTGTATTTTTTAATCCCACACTTCTCTTTTAATTTAGTAGTCATTAGGTTAGGAGACTAATCGTGTTCTCTGATGTACAGAAGCTCACTAAAAAGAGCATTTACAAATCTGCAGTGCATTATCCAAAATATAGTATAACAAGCAAGCAGGAATATTACACACATACAAAAATACTTGCAGGTATTTTTTACACAGAAATTGCCCTTTAAGGTAATCTGTCAAAAGAGAGGCATTAGTGGCATCATCTGAAAATGCTAGCTGTTTAGCTGTCATGCTGACCCTTTTGCTTCACTTTTTTAGTGACCTGAAACAAACATAAGAACTTTTGTGTTTCATCTAACCTCTGTACTCTGTGTACTTGTTCCAGGTCAGAATGCAAAAAGTGATCATAAAAGCGAAACTAATATTATGAGAAATGTTAGACTCTGTATTTATTATCATGGCAAGTTTTCTTTTAAGACTGCCTCATGGTAAGGGTTATTGCATAAAACTAGTCTTTTCAGTGTTACTGTACCATTATCTTCCCACATATTGGTGAGGGAGTGAAGGACTAGATATCACTGAACCACAGTAAATTATCAGCACAGTGGCTAAATGATTAGCATCTAGGCAGCACTAGTGTCGTTGGTTCGATTCCCAACCATGGCACCACCTGCCTAGAGTTTGCATGTTCTCCCTGTGCCTGTGTGGTTTTCCTCTGGGTACTCCGGTTTCCTTCCACACTCCAAAGACATGCTGGTAGGTTAATTGTCTCCTGTCTAAATTGTCCCTAGTATGTATGAATGTGAGTTAGGGACCTTAGATTGTACGCTCCTTGAGAGTTACTGATGTGAATGTACAATATATATGTAATGTGAGGGCGCTATAAGTACCTGTAATAAATAAATAAAATAGCTATTAAGTGGGTTGAATTTTTTATCTTGTACATCACTAGCTTAAAGAATAGAGACCTGGCTTAGACAAAGTGGTGGAGTGGTTAGATAGAATAACCTCAGTCCATGTGCATATCACACTCTATACAGCTGCAGCCTAGAGCAATATATGGTGGGATGTTGAAACCAACACAGATGGCACTGTCTGTCTGATCATAGGACAGGCAGGACATCCAAGTGAATGTCCATTGTTCCATGACAACAGGAAATTCATCATCCGTGTTTAGAGTGACCCTGTGCCCAGACTCCAGGTTAGATTTACTACCGTTATTATTATTATAATAAAGGATTTATATAGCACCAACAGTTTGCTCAGCGTTTTACAATATAAAGGGAGACAATACAACAACGATATAGTTCAATAAAAGGCAGTTAGGAGGGCCTGATCCTTGGAGCTTACAATCTAAGAGGGAGGGGCTGGCAGTACAGAAGGTAATAACTGTGGGGGATGAACTGATAAGAGAAATAAAAGATTTGGTTGTTAGCTGAAGGCAGGATAGGCTGCTCTGAAGAGAGGTTTTCAGAGATCGCCTAAAAGTGGGCAGAGTAGGCAATAGTCGAATAGATTGGGGTAGTTCCAGAGGATGGGGGAGGCTCTGGGGAAGTCCTGGAGACGAGCATGGGAGGAGGAGATAAGGGAGCTAGAGAGCAGGAGGCCGTGGGAGAAGAAGAGAGGGACAGTTTGGGTGATATTTGGAGACATTTTACTAAAGGCAAATACACTGAATACACTGTGCACTTTGCTAGTGCAGTTGCACTCATTTACCCCAGACCTTAGTAAATGTTGTAAAGCTTCACTTTGTAAAGAATACCCAATAAGGTGCAAGTAAAATAAAAAAAAAACAGCCTTTTTTTCTTGTACATGATTGGATGATGAAAATAAGCAGAACGTTACCACATTTACTAAGCTCTGGGAAAATGAGGACAACTACATTTGCAAAGTCCACAATCTTTGCCTCAAGTATTACTAAAGTATTTCTACATTCTGAACAAGCAGTAAAAGCACTTTAAAAGAAGCCCCATTCTCTTGCTATAGAAATTGTGGAGACATTTTGCATCAAAGTTCACAACCAATGCTTAGAAACTCTAGGGGTTTTTTCCTATTACTTTTATTGCACCAGTATCTTGGCAGCCTGCCGGCCTTCTCATGTAAATACACAGCAGTATTCCTGTTTTGTTAGGAACCAACTGAAAATGGAATCTAGAGTCTTTGGTGTGATCTTGGAGGATCTTTGAGAATTAATAACTTCACATTACAAACAGTTAAAGAGGTGGGGGATGGCTTGTTTTATGCCTCTGATTTACCGTTAATGTAAATATAATATATGAGGTCTTGTCCAGGGTTTCCCAATCTGGGTTCCATGGAACCCTGTGGTTCTCCCAGAGATTGCTAGGGGTTCCTTGAGCAATGAAGGGTTTTGTAAGAGTTTCTAGCTCTGGGTAAGGGGGGCAGTTTTCCCACTGATCAACAATGTAAGGGTGTCCTCCCGCTGACCAAAGTGATTGTAAAGTCAAGATTTTTTTTTTTTTAGTGACAAACATGATATAGTTTGTGCAAGGGTTTTGCAAAGAGCAGCCCCGAACCTCCTCATCTCAGGTCCCCTGCCTTCGATCCTGGTGCCTCCTCTTCTGAGTGTGCCCTCATAGCAAGCCACTTGCCATGGGGGTACATCTGCAGCCAATGGCTCCGGCTGCGCCCCCTGCCCATCAACAAAGCCTGTGACACCAGGAAGTGAAAGGAGAGCTGCTACAGACGGGCACATCATTGGACCGAGTGAGGACTCACAAGGCAAAGTATAAGGGGTGGTGAAGGGGTGATACTGTTACCTAACCATTTTTACCTTAATGCAGGGAATTCATTAAGAATAAAAAGTTTAGGCTTTAGATTCACTTTAATATAGGGGTTCTTCTCTTTTTGGCCATGAATATATGGGACCAGTACACCAACTACTAATATAAGAAGGTTCTTTTCCACTGCCCACCAATGTCAGGCACACTAACATTTTCACTGTCAGTGTTTCTTTTCTGGCCATTATTATTATTGGTTTCATTTAATGATTGGTACTGAAAATTTTGTTCAAACTATCTGCTCTAGGTGTCAAAATGTGCTAGATACATTGCATTCTTTATTTTTATCCCTGTTTTTATAGTTACCAACCAAACAAATGTTCCATGAACTAGAGATGTAATCATTTAAAAGGGATGCACCAAGAGATGACTCTTCCTCTATGTTAAGAAGTTTGAGAAAAGCTGGTCTGGGCACTTTAAAAGATAAGTTCACCTTTAGGAGCATGTTCCATATTACACCCATATTTAGGATGTAACATATAACATGCTCCTAGGAACCCACCTCCTGTCGCCACCAGTCTGCAGGATCCAGGTATCAGCAGATCGAGGATGCAATGCTTCACAGGATGCAGTGTAAAAAAATAATAAAAGCACATTTTTTCACCTGCAAAAAAGATGTGCATTTATTGTTTTGGTTTTTTTTTATAAAATGTGAACTTGGCCTCTAAGGACCACCAGCAATCTTTTTGTCAAATATCATAAAACAGTTTTAAGCAGTTTGTGATCGGAGTTCTTTAACTTGCTGCTATATTGAGATGTTCATTTCATATTAGTCAAACATGTTTTACTCAATTTGTATGGTAAAATCTTCCTTCATGTTCATTGCAATTTACAGGATCCATCTTTAAATCACAAAGCTTACAGAGACACTTTCAAGAAAATGAAGCCACCCAAAATCCCCTTCATGCCTTTACTTTTAAAAGGTAATTTAATCACATTAGTCTGTATATAGCAGCTACTTCTGGTTTACTCGTATAAAAATCCATGGGGGCTTGCAAGGTTTGAGGGGCATTAGCGAATGTCATACAAGGGTCAGCCTGGAAGAGTCATGATAATTCTGTAGCCCTCAGTATCACATTCAAACAAACCTATAATAAAGCCTAAGAGGGAAATGAGTAAAAGTCCCTATTTAGATAAATAATGGCAGTGCATATGATGCACAGTTTGAATGAAAAAAAAAAGATATTTCTTGTTTCATCCGTTGCTGAAATTTCATGGCCGGTATTTCATATAAATGCATTCTGATTGAAGTACAACTATGCGGGCCATGTCTATAATTTGTGGCTCAATTATTTCACAATTTCCTCTGCTTAAAAGACAGCTGTACCCATGCTGGTTTAAATGCAAATTGTGTTCCCGCTTTGGTAGCTTTGAAGCTTTGCTGAAGCTCTTAAGGATCTCTAGTAATTAAAATTTAAAGCTAAATTTTGCTCTTCTGAGTGTTCTGTTATTTCTGAATGTTAAGTATCTTAAATTTGACTGATTCATCTGCCTATCCTGACTGAGACACTTACATATAAGTGTTTCATATTCAATGTACAGGCCTATGCACGCAGCTTTGAATTGAATTTGTCTTAGCTGTTTAGTGTACCTTGCTGTTTTTAGACTTCTGCTCAATAACCAGCAGGATAAAGGAGATGGGATAAATAAAGAGCCACCAATGTGAAGATCAAGTTAATAATAATAAAGCAGAAATCCAGGTACAATTAAAATAAACCAAAATGCCCACACACTTTCCCTCCAACTGATGCAGGATCTAATGCTCATTTTATAGGGGAGGATGGAATAGCAATACTTATCTTAAATCAAGGTCCTGTGGCAGCCAACTGTCTGTTACTCCGCTGTCTAGCACCAGAATGGGGGGGGGGGGGGGGTACCATTGATGACCGCTGGTCCTGCATTGTATGATGTCAGTGAGAGGTGCAGCGATATGACCAGATGCAGACTGGCAAGAAGAACAGCTTAGTGGGACGATTTTCACAGTTGGAGCATATGGGGAAGGCTGCCGTATCCTGAGTTAAGTTAGCATTCCTCTCTATTACATCATCCTCTAGTAAAACAAGCATCACATTATACATTACTTGGCATTTTTATTTATTTAATGTGTTACTGGAGTTTTGCTTTAAATTTCAACTAACAATGAATCACTACAGTTTGCAGGGAATAACTATTGTTTTCTGGAAGTACTGCAGGTTCTGTCAAAAATGTATTATTGTAGTCACATGCAGTTATTGATCAGTTTTATTTCTTTTAGATGTCACATTTATTCATGAAGGAAATAAAACATTTTTGGATAATCTTGTCAACTTTGAAAAGCTGGTAAGTTATTAAAGTGACACTAAAGCTTTTTTTTGTTTTCTAAAATAACAAACCTGTCTATATTTACCTGCTCTGTTCAATGGTTTTTCACAGAGCAGCCCGGTCCTCTTCTTTTCAAGCCCCCTCTGGCGCTCCTGGCTCCTCCTTGAGCAGTGCCCCCAGGGAAAGCCGCTTATCCTGAAGGCACCTCTGTGTGCTCGTCCCCGAGCGGCTACTCTATGAGTCCATAAAACACATAGAGCTGCGGCTCTGGCCCGCCCCCCACTCTTTCCTCATTGGCTCACTGCCTATGATTGACAGCAGAATAGAATGCATGAAGGTAAAAAAAACCTTGAGCCTTTAGAACCACTTTAAATATTTTTAAATTAGGTATGTCTATAAATACATTGTGTGTGTGTTTTTTTTTATTGACAGGAGTGGGAATTGGTAGTAAGAAATTGCATTAAATCATCAGATTTCTGTTTTGCTAAGTTTTCTAAGCTCTCATGGATCCTAGTATATTTTACATTACTAAATCAAATATCTTGTTATGTCTCTGTTGTTATGTCACTGGTGTAGAGAAAAGCTATCATGATAGGAGGTTTTTTTTCCGCCAATGAAAAGTATAACTGCTATAATACTGGATATTTTTGGTCTTTAAAAATTGTTTACTAATTTGCTCCTGGCTTTGCTACCTATTAGGTCACAGACCTGGCACAAACATGCAACCAAGTAAGGTTTAAAAGCCTGAGCTATCATCTTGTGTACTTTTCATGTCAGTGATCCATTAGATAGCAAAGTCAGAATGAGAATGACAACCCTGGAGCCATGGATAGAGCAACAGTGGTCGAAATCACCCTTTATAGACCCAAAAATATGATTTTATTATCCCCCTCCTTTTTAAATGTTCACTACAATGAGCAGACCAATGTAGCCTGATGATTTTGTAGTGCAGTTATTGGCCTGGTAGCAAGATGCTTACCTGTGCATCCCCATCACTTATTTATTTGATCTTTGATGTCACATGACCAAATGCAAGGCATGAATGGAATGCGGTAACATCCCTTTTCAGCCCTATAGTGTCACCTGACTGCACAAATCCACTTTTTTCACTGTGTATTTTTTAATTTATGTGTGATAATGTTTGATGCATGCTTTGAGGGGCAGTAGAGGGGATCCCTAGTCCCACTGGTGCATCGACTACGCCCTCGCTATGTGCTGTTTTGGGAACAATAAGGTAGGACAGCAGAAAGAAGGGATGACTATTGAGCGGGGAAACGGGAAGGGGGGACATGTTGATGTACAGTACTTTGCAAAAGTCTTAGGCAGATGTGAAAAAATGCTGTAAATAAAGAATGCTTTTAGAAACAGAAGTGTTCAAAGTTTTTTATTATCAGTTAACAAAGTAGAAAGTAAATGCACAGAGGAGAAATCAATATTTTGTGTGACCACGCTTTGCCTTCAAAACAGCATCAGTTCTTCTAGGTACACGTGCATGCGGTTTTTGAAGGAACTTGTTAGGTAGGTTCTTCCAAACATCTTGGAGAACCACCCACAGCTCTTCTGTGGATGTAGGCTGCCTCAGATCCTTCTGCATCTTCATGTAATACCAGCAGAGTCATTGATGTTGAGTTCACAACCATCACTTCCAGGACTCCTTGTTCTTTTATGCTAAAGATCGCTGAGGATACCGCTCTGCAGCCCTTCGCAAACAAACTGCCTTTTGCTACAGCCAAATATTTCAAATTTTTACTCCTTAGTCCAGAGCACCTGCTGCCATTTTTCTGCATGCCAGTTCTTATGTTTGCATGCATTGGAAACAAGGTTAAGCAACTCAACTATGCAAAAAAACATAGGAACTGTGGTGCAGAGTAATGTCAGCAGGTGCTTTGGACTGAGGAGTTAAAATATTAACCACATGCCACCCAGCCACTGTATAAATACGGTGGCAGGGCTGGGCAAAAGCATGTTTTAAAACGCACTTTTGCAAAACAGGTAGGGGCGCGCACGAGGCGCGCCGCCGCCCTACCTGCACCAATGATCCTGGCCGCGGGTGTCAGTCGCCGAGTCACAGCTGGTCGTTACCGGCTGTGTCCCGCCGATTAGCGGCAATCACTGACAGAGAGCAGGGCTGCAGTAGCTCTGCTTTCTGTCAGTTCCCTTACATCTCCTGACACCCTGATCGGGAGAGAAGAGTTTACCTCTCCCGATCAGCGTGTCCCCATGCAGTATACACCCCCGCCCCCTAGTAAAACACTCCCCTCACAGTTAACCCTTTCAGTGAATAAAAGTTAACCCCTTCCTCCCCAGTGCCATTAGTACAGTGTCAGTGTTTTTTTTTTTTTTTTGCACTGATCACTGTATTGGTGTCACTGGGGATGTCAGTGACCCCAAGTCGGCTCCCCCCCAGTGTCAGAATGTCTGCCGCAGTCTCGCAATAAGTCGCTGATCGCCGCCATAAGTCACTGATTGCCGCCATTATTAGTATAAAAAAAAAAATTAAAAATCCGAGTATCTTTCCCGCCATTTGTAAACGCTATAACTTTCACGTAAACCAATTAATTTACACGTATTGTTTTTTTTTTAACAAAGACATGTCGCAGAATTTTGGCTGAAATTTATGACGAAATTAAATTTTTACATTTTTTTTACTGAACATGTTTTAGAGCAAAAAGTCCAAAATATAGTTTTTTTTCTCAAAATTGTCAGCCTTTTTTTTTTTTTTATAACGCAAAAAATAAAAAAACACAATCGATCAAATACCACCGAAAGAAAGCTCTATTTGTGTGAAAAAAGGACATAAATTTCATTTATGTACTGTATTGCATGACCGCGCAATTGTCCGTTAAACTAGTGCAGCGCTGTATAGCAACAAAACGGCGTAAATTGCAGTATCCATACCATAGTTTGTAGACACTATAACTTTCACACAAAGCAATCAATATACACTTATTGGGATTTTTTTTACCAAAAACATGGAGCAGAATACATTTTGGTCTAAATTTATACCAACTTTGAGTTTACTATATATTTTTTATAGCTGAAAGTAAAAAATATCATTTTTCTTCAAAATTTTTGGTCTTTTTTTGTTTATAGCGTGAAAAATAAAAAGCGCACAGATGATCAAATACCACCAAAAGAAAGCTCTATTTGTGTGAAAAAAAGGACGTAAATTTTGTTTGGGTGCAGCATTGCATGACCGCGCAATTATCAGTTGAATTAGTGCAGCGCCGAGTAGCAAAAAGAGGCCTGGTCATTAAGGGGGGTAAATCCTCAGGAGGGCAAGTGGTTAAACACTTGGCTTTAACAAAAGGCAGTTTGTTCATGATGGGCTGGAGAGCGGTACAATAATGAGTGTCTGCAGGCAACAGTGAAGCATGGTGGAGGTTCCTTGCAAGTTTGGGGCTACATTTTTGAAAATAGAGTTGGAGATTTTGTCAGGAGTCTTTCTGGGATTACATGAAGAAACAGCAGGATTTGAGGCAGCCTACATCCACAGAGGATCTGCGGTTCGTTCTCCACGATGTTTGAAACAACCTATCTGCCAAATTCCTTCAAAAACTGCGTGCAAGTGTACCTAGAAGAATTGATGCTGCTTTGAAGTCAAAGGCTGGTCACACCAAATATTGATTTGATATGGATTCCTCTTCTGTTCATTTACTTCCCATTTTGTTAATTGATAAAAAGAAACTATGCACACTTCTATTTCTGAAAGCATTTTTTCACACCTGCCTAAAGACTTCTGCACAGTACTGCATAACTACATCACTAACTGGGGATTAAAAACAGTTTAAAAGCTCCTATAGTTATATTCTAAAAGGTTCTCCTTGCAGTAACAGAAAAAATGTCAAACAAGGAAAAACTGATGCAATGCCACCTGTATTGCTGACCAGAGACTGTCCTGCCGAGCCCTGTATAAAACCATGTTCTATTTAGTGGGTTTCAAGGCATGGCAGTGCCCCCTGGGAAAAGGTGATAGACTATAGTACTTCTAGCCTTGGAGATGCATGGTAGCACTAGTCACAGATGATCTATGGGATTTTGAGTGGGAAGACCTTCTACAATCAGCAGTGGGCACACATAACCACAAATGATTCATTTTCTGTGTGAATACAACATCAACATCATGGAAGACATAAAAACTACACTCCCCCAGCTCATATAGATCTACCACCATGTAAAGAATCTCAGACCGTACTATGTTTGTGCCATATTATCAAGGAACTCTCTGGACTTTTCTAAATGACAAACACCATTTTAGCTAATTTTATCTGTTAAACTTAGAAGTAGTGACGTTCCTTCTTTCTTTCTTTCTTTCTTTCTGTCCATGTTTATGTATAAAGTGCACTGGTAGTAAACAAAGTATTTTTAGCTGATGCCTCTCTGTTGAAATGTTTTAGTTCTGACTAAGTGACATGTTGTTGTGATGTGGCTCATTAGTCTCCTCTGCCCCTGAAACACCCCCCAACCTTGTGTTGTTCTCCTTCTGTGCTAAATCGAAGCTGCCGGGAGATTGATCATCAGGAAATCATTTCCTGCGTGTGTTGCTTTGGATTGTTTTGATTTTCAGAAGCAGTAAACACACTGCCTGCAGTTTATGTTTCCAGCTCTGCTGTTTGGCTCTTCTGAAAGGATAGAAATAGGTTGTCAACATGTCTTAAACCGCCATCAGCCTAGCAGATAGCGTTTGCCATTTTGGATGCATTGTGTCTATTGTTTTGATTCTATCCTAGCAGCTTTGTTCCTGAGCAGGAAGAAAATTGACATTTAAGCCTAAGTGTACATGTGACTTCAAGTCCAGATGTGGCTAAACAATGAGGGTCGGACTCAGAGTGCATGACTGCAAGAGCAATGTTTCTTGGCATCCACCACCTTATGTTTTGTCTAATGAATTATGATTCACTGCTGCCTGTTGAACCCCCGAGTGCAGCATTTCCTTTACCTTACTGGTGATGATTATCAGCCCTTTCATTTTCTGTGATAAAAGGCTTGGAGTTGTGAGTCATGGTCATGTGTACTGATGTTGGTGTTTTTTGTTTTTTTTTTTTAATTTACCCTAATAGACACTTATTATGTAAATGTATAATTCAGTATACAGTACCTAGTAAAATATGTAGGTTGCTATCCTTGACATTCTTTACAAAATGCTGGTTCACTTGCTATCTGCCGGAAAAGAGCGAATGATCTAGATTTCACTCTGACTGTTCGTTGGAGTGGAGGTCTTTATTTGTCAGCTAAATATTCAAATCACTGGGTATATAGGTGGAATGCCAAAAAGTGGTACAAAGTATGACTTAACAGTTCACTAGTTGCAAAGCAAGTTCAAAGCAGCAGCAACCCCTCCCTCTCTAAGGGGAATGCTCCCAGTGTGACATCACTGCCTTACTAAGGAAGCACTATAGCTCCTTAGGAGAGTACTTGATTTACTTATTTTATACCATTTCTCCTCTAAGCAGAATAAAAACCAGTCCTGCTGTCCACTATAACTTAGCAGTCACACAAAAAAGTCAGATAAATGGAAATATTGCTAATATTGGACGATATATCTAAAGGAAAGCGTTCCAAATAGGAAGAGTGTTCCAACTCTGCTAATTAGTGCAGAGGGAACCTGAACTATAGGTTATATATAGATATATATGTGGAGTGACCAAATTAACTTAATTGACATCAGAAGAGGAAATAATACTCAGTGACCAGTCTTTAGCTGAAAAAGCTGGTCATTATCTCTTCACATAGTACTAATAAGAGGCACAATTGTGATGTCAGAGTAAGAATAGCCGAGTGTGGACATTGGCAGAGATCATGAATGGCTATGTGCACAGAACAGTGTGATTGGAGCTGCATGGTGCCAGAGAGAATTATCTTTTTCCAGCACATGGCCTCTTATCCGGTGTAATCCCTGTAGTTTTCCAAGTAACACCCATTGCTGAGCATTATGTTCATTTCATGAACACACAAGCGCTGCCCATATTACTCTGTGCATTGTTCCACTGCTGCAGCTGTGTGGGCCAGATAAAGTGTGTGAGTGCATGAATTAGTACTTTTTATAGTAAACTGCTGTGTGCAAAATACTCTTTTTTTCCGCTAGTGCTGCACTTATTCAATTTGAACACTTGAGCACTTTCAATATTACAGGAGTGCGACTTTAGGGTGCATATTGGCAAAAGTGACGTTAATGGGATCTAAGTGGTTAATAGCAGAGACAGTAAGCCACTTTACATCCCGACTTCTGTTCTGGGAATAGAAATGTGAATTATACAAAGACTGGAATAATTATGGTAATTTATTTGCCAAATACTTTATTCTTAAGTGACAGAGATAGGTTAATCCCTGAGAAAGAGAAAATCTCATTTATTTCGAACTTTGGAAGAGACTGTAGGCGAGGGATTTATATTACATAAATTCTGTGCAGTCAGGGCCTGATATTCTGTCCTGCCTCATGCTGATGCCTTTTTCTTTGCTTTCTTTTTATTCTTAGCATATGATAGCTGACACAGTCCGATCACTGCGATACTGCAGGAACAACCAGTTTGGTAAGTGATCTTCTTTGGATAATTGTGTAAGACAACACCATTAACTAGCAAATAAACTGCTGCTTGTATTAACCGCTTTCCCGCTTTCCAGCCGCCCTATAGTAAAAATACTTCTGCAGGGGTGCACAAAAACACATACATATACATGATTTAGCATCTCCACTTAGGGGACACAAGTGCTGCTCGCTATTTGTGGCCTCGGCTGTCAATCACCGGGTCCCGGCCAGTGATTACTCGCCAGCACCCAGTGATCGAGGAGCATTACCGACAGAGGGAGAGAACTACATGGAAACAATACAGTTCTCTTCCCTGTCAGCTCCAGCACACTACTTTGTATGGCTCTGCATAGCAGAGCCATACAAAGCAGTGTGCTTACAGTTGAAAGCACAGACAAAACTTACTGTGAAACGGCACACAGCACACAGTTAACCCTTTGATTGTCCCAGATGTTAACCCCTTCCTGCCCAGTGCCATTAGTACAGTGTTAGTGCTTTTTATTAGCACTGATCACTGTATTGGTGACACTGGGGATATCAGTGACACCAAGTCAGTTCCCCCCAATGTCAGAATGCCCACCGCAGTCCTGCTATAAGTCGCTAATCACCATTACTAGTACAAAAAAAAAAATTCCAGTTTCTATACCACCATTTGTAAACACTATAACTTTCATGTAAACCAATTAATTTACACGTATTGGGATTTTATTTTTTTTTAGCAAAGGCATGTAGCAGAATATACTTTGGCCTAAATTTATGATGACATTTTTTTTTACTGGACATGTTTAATAGCAAAAAGTCAAAGATATTGTTTTTTTTCTCAAAATTGTCAGTCTTTTTTTTATAGCGCAAAAAAAAAAAAAAAAACACACAGGCTATCAAATACCACCAAAAGAAAGCTCTATTTGTGGGGGAAAAAAGACGTAACTTTCATTTGGGTTCAGCGTTGCATGACCACGCATTTGTTAGTTAAACTAACGCAGCGCCGTAATGCAAAAAATGGCCTGATCAGGAAGGGGGGTAAATCCTCAGGATGGCAAGTGGTTAAATACTATTTATACCAGTTCAATAACATGTGCCCTAGTCTCTAACTACATACTTTACTTGTGTCTGATCAGTACTGCTATGTACTGTGATTTAGGGGCTAGCGTGAGGAACAAGAGCATGCAGCTGGGGATTAGTAAATAGACAATCTCAGAAGTATCAAATTCTTCAGGATCTTTAGCAGTCAGTTCATCTTTACTATTGCAGTGTTCTGTGACATGGGCAGCAGGGGAGTTGAGTATTCAGTGGGGTTCATTTACTAGAGGCGAGTAGACTGTACACTCTGCAGTTGCATTTCCCCCAGAGCTTAGAGAATGTGGCAAAGCTCTACTGATTTCCCTCATCCAATCATGTAATCAAGTGCAAACCAAAATGCTATTTTTTCTTTTTCTTTAATTTTCCTTGCACCTGATAGTGAATGTGGTGAAGCTTCACTTAGTGAGGAAGTCCCTAAGTTCTGGGGAAAAGGAGTGCAACTGCACTTGCAAAGTGCACAGTCTATTTCCATTTAGTAACTCAACCCCAATGCAGTAGATTATTTAATGTAAAGTCTGATTTTAGCCACAAGGTTGATTTATAGGAAATGTAGTCATTTTAATGAATTTTAGATATATACATAGAAGATATCATCTTGATTTAAATTATTTTAATAAGCTGTGTTAATGTTTAAGAAAATATTTGCACTTATATATACAGGTATGTGCAAATATGTGCAAAAAAACTGCAACATATATGCTTGCTGATTATACTTTCCTTTCCCTTTAATTTACTTAAGACTATACAATAAAAGACTAATGTGTTTCAGCTCATAGGAACACAATCCAGCTTACACATTCCAATTTCATTTATCTTCCTGGGCAAGTCTTTACTGGATTACTGATTCCTAATTTCAAATATCTGGGTCTCCTTGTAGCTTTGTTTCCTGGGTCACTGCCCAGATTGCCCATATGGTAATCCACTGCTGATTTGGGTACTTACTTTGAGACTTGTCATTGTATGTACCTGACTTGGAATTGGGGCATGCAGCTAGCGTCTTTGTCCTCTAACTTACCCCTTCACACAGCAAGCATATGTAAATTGTAGCAGCGTCCTCCTAACCCTCCTGTATTGAATGGTATTGTTGCTGTATTGTCTCCCTCTATATTGTAAAGCGCTGAGCAAACTGTTGGAGCTATATAAATCCTGTATAATAATACCATAAGGAAGCAGCAATAAGGCCTCATGCACATTGGACAAAAGGCATAGGTGCACTATCCAGCCCTGCAGCCAGCAGCCTGTAAAACCTCTGTGAGAGGCTGAAAGCTGCTGTGACCAGATGGTTCCCTGAGTGAAAGTAACCTTTAGGACTGTATGCGCCCAGGGACGAATGCCCGGAAAGCAAGAAGTCTGTGTTTTGGGCATTCTTTCCTGGGTGCACCCTAAAACATTAGTACTACTCCATGCACCATCCAACCGGAGCAGCTTTTAGCCTCCCATATACTTTTTTTACAGGCTACTGGCAGCAGGGGTGGATGGTGCACCCTTGCCTTCCACCCGCTCCAAAACACTATGATCTCATGCATCAAGGCTAAATGCCTAATGTTCATTAGGCCTAAGAGACATTGGCTAATGGTGTGAATGTTCTTTTTACAGAAGAACAATAATTTAGTAACGTATACTTGGTGTGAAACATTTGGTAAATGTAATGCTGCCAAAACGTGAATTCCTAGTTCCTTATAAAGCACTGGAGAAAGAGTTCCAGTTATGTATAAATGAGTAAAAAATATGGCAGCACCTAGGGAAAAATTCAAGTTGAAGATAAGGCTAACTATTTTTAAAAATGTTCCACTTCCTCCTGCCTCATCTGTGTACTTCCTTTTAATCCTGTGTTTGCTGGACACGTGATCCAGCAGCTCTATGGTCAATGGGAGTCTGTGGGTGACATCATGGCTCCAGGAATTCATGGTCATTGTCGAGTGCTCCCTTACACAGCGGAGCCATTGCTGCTGAATCACATGACCGGATAGGATTTAAAAAAGGTTACATTCTAACACACTAACACAGACTTGGTTGAATCATTCATTGAACATATTAGTCAACCGACGCATTTAAGAATTTAACCCAGAGGTGAGCCATAAATTCCAGCCATAATATTATGGGGTATTCTCAATACTACAACACTGCAATAATGACCTATCACTGGGGATTTCAAACGTTGTTATTGCGAAATCAAAGGCCAGCAATTGTTTTTGACTGTAAGAAAAAAAGTGTTCCTTATCTCAAACACCAGCAGCACTGTCATTTACGTGGTGTTATATTGTCATTTCACTATTAAACAGATTATAGCAGAAATTAGCTGTTCAAAATGAAAAACCTCATCAGACACAATAGATTTTCCATAAACTATTTTTGATTGTCATTATTACTGTGTCTATAAAAATAGCAGATTGAGAACAGTGTTTCACCCCATAGAGTGTCTCATTACTCATCCACAGCTCCTGGGATTGTATACATTGAGAAATGATGGCAAATGAGGATAGAAGCCCTCAAGGCATAATATCAGCAGTGTGAATTTTATAAAGACATTAGACCAATCTGCCAAGTCTTCATGAAGACTTTGTTGGCCATTTGAATACTCAGGGGATTCAAGTAATCTGTATCTGCTGCTGGTATCTGGGAATTGTGTTAAAAACACTTATGCAGACTGGCCGCTCTAACACGAAGCAAATAACCTGTGGGCCTGATGCATATTGTGTGTTTGATTATGGACAGAATACTGTACACAGAAATCACTGAGATGGAAAGTGGCCGGGCTCAATGTGTAGCCCAACTAATAAATGTCATTTAAATTCCAGCAGAAGAGAAACATTTCATTCTTGACTAAACCCCAAAAAAGCCAGTAATTACTCTTTAGAAAGCCTCTTGCAAATATTGTATTTAGTTGATCCGCTTGCAAAAACAAAAGTGATTAAAGCACTGAATGCATTTCAGTAGAATGCCAGTCATGCTATAAATTGCTAAATTCCTGAAATCACCTTCTCCCAAGATAGAGATTGTGGAGCCATCTAAATTATTTCAGTTTGAACGCAGAGTAGGATTCTGCTTTATTATTTACTTACTGCAGTGGGGGGATTATCACATCTGTATAGCCATGTAGTGCCAGATTTTTTTAGTGAATGAAAATGTTATTTTAGTGTGGAGACGGAGTAGATTTCTATTTTAAATAAAATCTGCCTCAAGGATCAGTGCCTTTTCCATATTAGAGATAGGTTTTTCACCTACAGTCATACATGGGTATGAAGTAACAGCTACACAAGTTTGGAGGAGCTGGGCGAGAAGACTCAGATTAGCTTCCATTGATAACTAACACTGTATATCTGTGTTTACTAAGGTATTATAAAATAAAAACAATTGTCTGTTACGTCCAACTAATATATTATATCATTTTGGTAAACTTTTTTTTTTTCTTTTGCACGTCTGTTTTCAAAACATTGATTTGTAAGAGTGTCTTATAATGCATTTTCACATACTTTGTGCATCTCTATGCAGTAAAAGAAACCTGTAGTAAGGGAAAATAAGATTGCCAAAGCAGACTTCTCCTGAAAATGCCATTTGTATGGATGGTATGCTGATGGTTTTCCTTCCATAAAGCATTCATTGGGATTATAATTTCTGCCATTCATTTGCTAAATGCCTGCACTGGGTCTGAGAATTAGTGAAGGCAACCAGGAACATGGAGGCCAGCAATAGCAGCCTCTACATTTCTGCAATGGCAGGTGCACCTTAAAAGAAATGTATTGGGGTTGATTTACTAAAACTGGAGAGTGCAAAGTCTGGTGCAGCTGTGCATGGTAGCCAATCCGCTTCTAACTTCAGTTTGTTCAATTAAGCTTTGACAAAAAAAAAAAAACCTGAAAGCGGATTGATTTCTGTGCACAGCTGAACCAGATTTTCCTCTCTCCAGTTTTAGTAAATCAACCCTGTGCCTTTAACATGTATTTACATTGGATTCTATTTATTGTTGTGGAAGATTTGCTTTTGCAAAATGCAGCTGCAGTTTCTAGGGCAGTAAAATGCATCTAAAGCAAAGAGGTTTAAGTGTGTCTTTAGCATGTACAGTATTTTTGGGTGCCAGCCAGTAGAATTCTGTACACCTTTTTAATGTATTTGCGTCATTTATTTTTCATTGTCATTTTGTGTTCGTAATTTTTTTGATCAGATACAATTTATTGAAACATATGCAACATTATACATGTTTGTTTTTGTAATTTAGTGCATATGCAAACTCTTCATATATTTAAACATATAAATTTGTATATGTTAATAGTCTGCTATATGAATATATCTCTGATATATTTTTTCTGCTGTTATTAAAGCCAATGAGATGCCACAGAAGGAACGCCAGGAAGCCCGCTTCTACACACACAACCTGCTTGTGATTGACAACCAGCAGACTCTGTTTGAGCTATCTCACAGGATAGAGCCACGAGTGTAGACACAGCCCCGCCTGCACTGGATGACCGCTGATGCCAAGCATGTAGCTTTACAAGGAAATAATTTTACTGAGTTTTATCAGTATTGAAGAGAAGAACTCAGCCAAGTGTGGAGCAGTCCCTTGCCCTCAAAAAGAAGTGCTGGAATAAAAACTCACTTTTCTGTGTCATGCATAATGGGAACTTACTGCTGTACCCAGTAGCTGGTATGCTGTCTGCACTGTGTGGCTGGTTCCTGATCTGAGGAAACACCTACAGCTACTTCTGACTCTCTGGACCTACACAGCTAGATCTCTACATCTCCAACATATAAATGATGTGCTTTGAGTTGCATAGACCAGGTCATGGTCACTGACTTTGGCTCAATTTCCCTAGTATACATGCAGAATGTTATTTTGCTGACAGAGGTGTCTGGGTTATACTAATTGGCAACAGTTCTTTGCATCAGTAGCTTAGGATCTGACATATCAGTGTCATTACTATAAACTTAGCTCATTATCCAAAGCCAATATTCATACTCAGACACTTAGGACAGGTATGAGTCTGATTTTTGGTTGTGTGGATATAAAACGGTTTTTTTTTACCACTAACATTATTTCACATCAGGCCCTTAGTGCTGTACTACTAGAAGTAACACTGATACAGACGGCTAAACTGGCTTTCCATGGCCAGTAATGCTTTTACTGGAATCTGAGCTTCTGCAGGTAGACTTTTCCACATCTTTTAACTTTGCTAACTGCACACTTTTCTGCAGTTTCATAGCGGAGGATATATTATTTATTCATGAGGTCCTGTCATGTTTATCTGCCCCCCCCCCCCCCAATCCACACAAATACAAACAACCGCCTACCAGATGAATGCAAAAGATTGGGGCTTGTCATGAAAGAGGATTGGTTTGGCCTGCTGTTATTAGATTTTTGCAAGTTGCCTTGTGTATAGCCACAGTTGCGACTAGCCAATCATTTAATTTTCCTTGTTTTCGCCATAAAATGCTCAGTGACTTATGTAGTAAAACCACAAGCCATACTTTCATGTTGCTTCTTACCGTATTAGATCAGCCTGCAGGTGTGATGTCACTCTGGTCTATAAGTCTATGTTTTCCTTATTAGATAAGACAGCACAAAGGTAGATATTGGGATACTTTCTATGTACCAATATGTACCGGCCCCTATCCAGTATCACCCTAATTAAACAAAATATGGAAGTTAGCCAAACGATGATGTTCCAGATTTTGCCTGTCTTGGGGAGGATGGGATTAATGCATCCACTGTGCAGCTTGTGGCTGGAGAAGGTTTGCAGAAAGGGAAATCACAGAATACGCTTACTTCATGATTTACAGAGCATGAAATAAAACAAGCTGAATTGCCTCTGCCTATAAAATATGGGTTTCTATGCTTAAATAGAGAAAAAAACCTTTTCCTACTAACTTATTCTGCCAGCAAGTATTTATGAAGCTCTATTTGTATGTGGCTATAAAAGTAATATTTGTACACAGTATAGCAAATGGCTTATACATTATGGAAACGGTAGATGTTGCATTCACAGAAAACAATGGAGTCTAACAAAATCCTTTAAAGTACATGATTTGTATTAAAGCACATTTTGTTACAATAACATGGAAACAACTTACAAAAACAGAGTCTGCTGTTTCATAAGGCCTGGTCACAGTGCCAGAGTTGTCCAGAAGCTACACTGCAAATTACTGTCATTACCAGTCTGTATTAAATTGTTAAATGTCTAATGCTTTCTAATACTTAATACAGCAGTAATAATACAATTATAAAATAACTGACAAACAGTAAAGAACATTATGTTTCATGTAGTTGTAGTCAATCATGGTCAACTCCACAGAATCTGTACTTTGGATTTAAGCCTAGTTGCTGCCCAGCTATATCATATACTGCATTGTTATCCCTTGCCAGGAGTTGCTTTTCTGAATTCAACCAAAATTCCCAACTCCAAATTGCTGTCATGCCATTCTGTAGCCAAATGATGGCTCTCTTCCAGTGGATTCCCCACATGTAGACTAGTCTAATGATTGGGAATTCCAACTGCAAGAAGGTGGCACCCTTAAGAAAGTTTGCTACTAAGTAAAGAAAGGGGGCAATCTCAGCAAGCTATAGAACTGAGCAATCTCACGGTCTCATCTACCAGACCCATTTAACCTGTTTTGTCTTTTTTCAGGACTGCCGGGGATACAGTTTAGTAAAACAGCAATCTAGATTTCTTCACACTGCCACAAAAATCTAAAATTAAAAAAAAAAAAAAAAAAAATAGGCAGCCCACGTACAAAACACCAGATTTATTGAAGGGCTCAGAGAAAGCTGCTCCTTTTGCTCACAGACATGTTTCTACAGCAATATGGTAGTCATACGAGGTGAATCTGGTTGCTATGGCCAACAAGAATAGATCTTCCTTCAATGTAGTTGCAGAGGAGTGGTACATATGTACACACGGATTGGATGTAGCCTGCTTTCAGAATTTGAGCATTTAGGAGTTTTTACAAGTATACCTTGAAGCCAGGCTATCCCTCCTGGGTGATAGTTAAATATATTGCAGTAAGTGCAAAGTAGCCATTAGGAATTGCAATATGTATCACTTGTTAGTACGGTGCTGCAGCACACCCAAGAGTCCCGAACCCTGTGCACTCCACAGCACAAGATTTATACGTTTCAGTGGTGTTGTCACTAAGATCATGGAGGCACCTCTCACTGGGCTGTTGAAGCCTCACATTGCTTTTTAGTACATGATGTGGGCTCTCTTCAACATTGACTTTTAAGTAAAGACAAATTTGCATACTGTGGGGTTTGAGGGTCCCAAAAGGCCCTGCTGAAGCACCTCAACAAGCAATACAGGTCAACAGTGTGCGATGCTGAGTTTGCACTTACAGCACTAGCCTGTCATCCATTCTGTTTTTTAAACATATTGTTCACACACAGATGTGTATATGTAGAAATATGAGATTAACCTTCAACACAAATTAATGTTTATTATTTCCGTAGGTGATTTTATTTTTGACATGTTCTGCATAATTAATGTCCTTTAGCCAGATTCACACACTTAGTGTAGTCCTGGTACAGTGTATACTGTCCTGGTACAGTGTATACTGTCAGACATTTTTATCAAGTCTAATGCTTTTATCTTGTAAAACAAAAGCACTTTGGATATGACTACGCACTTGAGAGACTGCCTATTGTCAACCCTCAATTATCCGTATACGTTAGTTGTTATTGTGAGGGTTATTTTATCACTGCTGCTAATGCAACACTATGAGGGCACTGACACCATTGCCAATTATTTAATATCACAGTATTTTTATTATAGATACTGTATTTCCAAATGTTCTATTATGTATATTGTATATAATGATGGAAGGTAAGTTTTAAACTCCCACCTGGAGTTATACTAAAGCTGTTACATGTATATAGACTAGCAATGCTACATTTACTGCTCTTACTTTTTTTTTTGCATGTTAAACTATGTGCATTTATTAGGCATTTAAAGGAGCTGTACCAAAGAAGACTTAAGTAAACTTGTGGCACTTTCTGTTTGGGACATGTTGTATTTGGAAATGCATATAGTCCAAATGGACTGAACGCAGATTAGCTTTGAAGATGATTTGGGAGACCTTTCCCCCTTTTCAGTCTAAAGTCTAATAATGAGATTTAATACTGCAATTTCTTGCAAAGTAGTTAAATAAGGAGATCATGTAATGCTTTTACAGATGAGTCCTGTTGCACAGGACAATTTACATAAATGTTTTCTGTTTATTTAATGTGAAAAATAGAGCACCTTTAAATGCCATTGTGTCTGTAACATTTCCTGTATATAGTGACCTAGTGTACTGCTCCATCTAGTGCGTGTTCTTCAGCATGACAGTGCAGTGGTTTCACTTGCAGTTACTTTAGAATTTGCGTGCCTTTCCCTGCACATATTTACTAAACATATTGGTGGGATGCACATATAACATAAAAACAAGGGTTGTTTCTGTTACATAGCATGTAAAGGTAGTTCATAAACATATTTTGTAGTGTTAACATGAGTATTGTGTTAGAAAGGTCTTCAGGGACTCAATTCCAGTCATTAGCTAACTCCAATTAACCCTATTTTCCATTCTAATGGAATGTAAGGTACACTATATCGCCAAAAGTATTGGGACCCCTGCCTTTACACACACATGAATTTAAATGGCATCCCAGTCTTAGTCCATAGGGTTCAATAGTGAGTTGGCCCACCCTTTGCAGCTATAACAGCTTCAACTCTTCCGGGAAGGCTGTCCACAAGGTTTAGGAGTGTGTCTATGGGAATGTTTGACCATTCTTCCAGAAGAGCATTTGTGAGGTCAGGCACTGGATGTTTGGCGAGAAGGCCTGGCTCACAGTCTCAGTTCTATCCCAAAGGTGTCAGAACTCTGTGCAGGTCAGTCAAGTTCATCCAACCCAAACTCGCTCATCCATATCTTTATGGACCTTGCTTTGTGCACTGGTGCGCAGTCATGTTGGAACAGGAAGGGGCCATCCCCAAACTGTTCCCATAAAATTGGAAGCATGAAATTGTCCAAAATGTCTTGCTATGCTGAAACTTAAGAGTTCCCTTCACTGGAACTAAGGGGCCAAGCCCAACCCCTGAAAAACAACCCCACACCATAATCCCCCCTCCACCAAACTTTTACACAATGCAGTCAGGCAAGTACTTTTCTGGCATCCGTCAAACCCAGACACATCCATCGGATTGCCAGACAGATAATTGTGAATTGTCACTCCAGAGAACATGTCTCCACTGCTCTAGAGTCCAGTGGTGGTGTGCTTTACGCCACAGCACAGAATGCTTTGCATTGCACTTGATGATGTAAGTCTTGGATGCAGCTGCTCGACCATAGAAACTTATTCCATGAAGCTCTCTAAGCACTGTTGTTGTGCTGATTTGAAGGCCACATGAAGTTTGGAGTTAGCTATTGACTTTGCAGACAGTTGGCAACTTCTGCACACTGTGCGCTTCAGCA